TAAAATTGATCGGGCAATTATAGCCTCAAAACAAAAGTCATACTGACTCCTTTTACAGATCATAAATCATTTACGTAAGCAGTAAGTGTACAAAGTAGCTCTAAATCTAATTGAATTTTAAGTATAATCCCATAGCGTCGACACCCAAATAACAAATATCATTAAAAATAAAACAGTTGAATGGGATGTCCAAATATGTAAATGCATAGATGAGCATTTAACCGAGAAACATAGTTGTGCTCTATCCAAGACTATATAATACAAATGGCATCAATCCATCTACCCACAATTGAGATTACAATTTACAAAAAATTATAATACAGGAACAACAATGCAGTGATCTTTCCAGTCCAGCACTAAACATCCTCCGATCACAAGGCTTCAAAATCCAGAATATCTTATTTGTTTTTACACCCTGCTATAAGCAGTTAAGCATTTCCAAGATTAAGAACTCGCAATTTGATTCGCAACAGCAATCATGTAAAGTCATTGGTACATAATTAGATCACGTGACTCAGTTTAATCGGGCGCTTCCAAATTGGTTATAGCAGGGGGAAGAAGGAGGTACGGATTCTGGACATCTGCTTAGGAGGATGACAAGTGAATGTTGTATAAATTGTGATATCAAGAATCACCTAGTTCAAATCAATTTGGATTTTAAAATCCCATATTATTTACATTATTTTGAACCAATTTTGAACATTTCTTAGTGGTAATATATATATCTTTTATTGACTCTTTAGATGTCATATCATGACATATTAGTCACTAAGGTAGAGCAGTTCTTCGAATTGTCGAGTTGAAGAACTGGTATCTTTATCCTAGCTAGAACCATAGACAATTCTAGTCAGCGCCAGCCTTTTATCGAGTTAGCAGCACTCTAGTAATCGCCGGTATAGGTCAGCAGTCATAGGTCAAAGACAAATCACAAGAAGTGCTGTGACCTGGGTTTGAACCCAAGACCTCTACTTTTCAGACCAATGCCTTAACCACTAGGCCAACTCGGCGACCACAAACAAGGTAAAATAAGAATGTTAACCAATTAAACAAAACTCTTGAAAATATCTGACCATGTTAAATTATTGATAATTCACAATTATAAATTACTATCTACATTGAATAATTAATTAAACTGAAATTCAATTGATAAAATTCAGGTAAATGGAGAGACATCATGGACAGACTGCATGCTAAAACAAATCTTATCTTTTCTAAATGTCAGACATTATTTAATCTCTCTATTTGTATGTGAATATTAGCACTGCAACCAGCTGTCAGAACATCTAATATTATATATTGGTAATAAAAAGATACAATAGTTTTGTACATAGGTTGTTCAAAATGTAATTATATAACGCAAGTTACCCTCATACCCTCATGTATGCTAAATGTGTACTCATTAACTATGTCAAAACGTCAGAGGAAATGACTTTATAGAAAGTCGTCCGTATATCAACGACAAACTCTGAATGGCTCGGTGAGTTCAGAGATCTATTGTAAACTGAAAAAGTGAAGATGAAGCTCTCATCTAGAAGCAAAGTTAAACGAATGCAAATTGAAAAGGGTACCCTCCTATCATAAAACTTTACAAAAAAATTAACCCAGGCCCGTAGCCAGGGGGTGGTTCGGGGGTTCGGACGAATCCTCCCTGGCCAAAATTTCTTTTAAAATCATGCAGTTATCACCATTCTGACTATTTTTTGAGTGATTTTTGGCCAAATTTGCCAAAGTGAACCCCCCTAGATTATTTGGAAAAGTGACCCCCCCCCTTGGAAAATGCTGGCTATAGGCCTGTAACCTATACCTATACTAATAATTCACCTATACTATTATTTAGTGTTTTTAGCAATATGACAAATGCTAATTTCAGGAATAATACTCCTCAAGTAGTCAAAGCTGTTAATCAATAGGATTTGGATCTTAACGAGGAATAATCTTAACCCAAAACAAACACTTCTCCACAAAATGTAAATGCATTATGAATTCAAAACGAACAATCGTTTATTTCCTTCGTTCTCGAACAGGAACTGGAATATTTATTCTGCAGTGTCACAAAAGCCGTGAAATCAAAGTTATTCAATCCTAATTAAACTAACATTGCGAAGGTTTAAATTATTTGTTTAGTTTGAAATAACAAGACAAGTTACGATATTTGAAGATCAAAAATGTGTGTTTAAGACTAAGTCTTTACTAGGGAATCATTACTTTTTTTCTGTAACATGTTTATTTGCTATAATTTTTAGGGAATCAACTTATGATTTTCAAAATTGTTAGTGTTGAGTTTTATGAATTATTGGATCAGAATAATAAAAAAAAAATTACTCAAAACTGTCCGTATCTTCTCTTAAATAGTAAAGTTTGCCTTTGACTAAATAGAAAGAATGAGCAGACTTTGTTAAGATCAGATCTTTTCATGTCAAAATATTAATCTCTAAACAAAAACTTAAATCAATAACAGTAAAGGGAACATACTGTGTAGCTAATTAAGCTTACTTGATGGCATTATTTAGAACAAAATCACAGGTTTTTAAATGGACTATATCAGGGCCGTCAGATGGGGGGGTGCGATGGGTGCGACCGCACCCCCCTTTGTCACCCCCCCCAAAATAAATTTGAAAAAAAAATTGAAAAAAATTCTTTTTTTGAAATTTTTTTTTTTGTAATTTTTTTTCATTGACTCATACACTTTGAAAGTACCCACAAAGCACCAAATAGCATCTTAAAATTGTAAAATTTTCTAGGGGTATTGGCCACCCCTCACACCCCCACAAAACAATGGAAAAGTTCTAAATTTATTTTAGTGTTTTATCTCAGACACTTTTAAAGTGCCCAGACATCATCAAATAGCTCCTTGATATAGTTAGTGTTTTTGGGGGACTTGCTCCCCCTCTTGCATCGTGCACTTTCATAGACCCCCCCCCCCCCTCTGGCGCCCCCCCCCCCTTGACCCCCCCCCCAAAAAAAAAAATTGTGATTTTCTCAAATTCTTTAATTGACTCATACACTTTGAAAAGTGCCCAGAAAGCACCAAATAGCGTTGTAAAATTGTAAAATTTTCTAGGGGGAGTGGGCCACCCCTCACACCCCAAACAAAACAATGGAAAAGTTCTGAATTTGTTTTATGTACTGTCTCAGACACTTTTAAATTGCCCAGACATCATCATCATCCTTGATAAAGTTAATGATTCTGGAAGACTAACACTTACTCGCCCTCTGGCATCCCCACTCCACCTCCCCCTCTGGCAGCCCCCCCCCCAAAAAAAAAATTTCAATTTTTTTTTACTGACTTTATTGACTAAAGTGCCCAGAAAGCACCAAATAGCATCTTAAAATTGTAAAATTTTCTTGGGAAATAGGCACTTTTAGGCACAGACACTTTTAAAGTGCCCAAACTTCATCGAATAGCACCTTGATATTGTAAATTTTGATATGGGGGACAAACACTTGCTCCCCCTCTGGCACCCCAGCCCCACCTCCCCCTCTGGCACCCCCCCCCCCTTTGACACCCCCAAAACTTGAAAAAAATTGTGATTATTTTTCAATGTTTTTATTGACTAATACACTTTAAAATTGTGCCCAGAAGCACCAAATATCATCTTTAAATTGTAAAATTTTTTAGGAGAGTTAGCCACCCCTCACCCACAAAACAAAAGAAAATATTCTGAATTTCATGTATTGTCTCAGACATTTTTTAAGTGCCCAGACATCATCAAATAGCACCTTGATATAGTCAATGTTTATGGGGGACAACCCCTTGCTCCCTTACTGGCACCACATCCCACTTCACCCTCTCATCCACTTTGACACCCCCAAAAGAATTTGAAAAAATACACATTTTTCTTATTGACTCATAACGCACAGGCGTACCAGATGGTTGCAAATTCGCTCCAAATACAACCAAATTTCAAAAATTTCCTGGGGGAGACCCCCCTTAATGCTCGGTTTTTTATTCACTCAACTCTTATTCCCATGGTGGTGGCGTACTACTTGGAAACATACACTTTGAAAGTGCCCAGAAAGCACCAAATAGCATCTCAAAACTGTAAAATTTTCTAGGGGGAGTGGACCACTCCTCACACCCCCCACAAAACAATTGGAACTTTTGGAAGTTGCATTTGTTAATTCCAAACCAATAGAGGGAGTAACTGAGCCCCCCCCCCTCTGACTTACGCGATTTGATTTTCGCGGCCAAAAAATTGACAATTTTATATTCTCTTTAGTAAGCTAAAAACCGCACCCCCTTGGAGAAAAGTGTCTTACGGGCCTGTATATAGGGGTCATACCTTTGGCGGAGGGATGATATGGAACCTCACACCTCAGGAAAAACACAAATACACTGAACTTTATTTTTCTATTTCCAGAAAATAATCTCTCAAAGACAATGAATAACAACCAATATATGCATAGATGAGGATATTCTGAAAAAGACACACAAAGGTTTAAGTCTAACTATCTTTGAAATAATTCTGTCCATAAATAGTAAGTGAGCCAAAGCACAATTATAGAGGGCCTCTGTCTAACCACGATGTATAGGATTGCTTCATTCAGGGGCTATTTTGACCATGCTATTTTTTTACCATGGACGAGAATTCAAATTTCTGGGTTCAGCCATCTTAGATAAGATTTTGCCCAGTGAGGATGATGATGAAGTAACCCAATATGTTGAAGTTCGACGGAGGACCCCTAAAGTAAATCTTACCCAATGCTGAAATACATGTACAAAGATGGCCTCAGAAAACACTCCAAGACCAGAAATGAAAAATCGAAGATACACAGAGTGGGGGGTTAGATTTTCATATGATCAGTTCAACTTTATGTTCTGGTGCCTTTGGCTTAGATAGAGGTAGAACTAACGTATTCAAGATAAAACAAGCTACATGCATTTCACTTGTCAAATAAAATTATAACTGAAAAAGCAGAGCAAAAATATCATGCAAAAATTTGACCCCATATTTCACAGCTTTGTGATACGATTTACGAAACAAAAAATATAACCTTACCTGGATAGAATTCTTCAGAATAGATTCCTGGTAGTGACAGTAAGAAAACTGCCAGAAGGAAAGGGGAAATCATCATAATACGGCGGGGCCAAAATTTTACATATCCATTTTTGTTTTCTTTACCAAATCTCGAGTGACGTCAATTAGTAATTCGAGATTTTACGAGAGTGGGTGATTTAAGACCCCTGAGTATATCACGGACATTGCAATGTGGTCAAAATACTTCAGTTTCAAAAAAATATGTTCAAATGATGATTGATATACTTATTTACATAAATTGATAGCAATCTGTTGTTTTTGCACCACGCATCACCTGGACTAAGTAGTTTTTGAAGTGAATACAAAACTTTGATAATTGTTAATATTACAAGAGGTCTGCAATGGCAGCAAAGTCAGAACTCTTATATGAGGTAAGTTAAATTGATCTTATAATACAACTATGTGTGTAATCGTTCTAGGAATTCGACACAATATTAATGAAATAATTATGTATGTGATGATAAATTTTTAGGCGAATTAATGGCTTCTTTGGGTGGCCTATTCAACTTGTAAATGTCAGAAAAGTTCTGAAAGTTTTAAAAGTTCCAAGAAATCAACAGGCTGTTGTTATTGCAAAATTCCACCTCAGTTTTTCATTGTAGTGCAAAGTTTGTGATGTAAGTTGACTGTTATTCATTATTTATTTGAGGGGATGTATACACTTATACTATATTCTTCTTGGCAAAATTTGCTGAACAAACCTGTCACAGGAAGTTGTGTCAAGTTCTATTTGGTCTAGTCAAGTGAACTCGACTTAATGTTGTTGTTTCACGTTTCTTTTTGACGATTTGGATATTTGTTTTTTATTTTCGTTTTCAACATTTGCGTCGAGGATATTAAGGCCCGTATATTGCGGTAAATGCTTTTCTGCCCTCTATGCCCAACAAAAGTTACACAGATAAGATAATGGATCCAATGCTTCAACTAGAATGTATTAAATCTTACCTTAAACACAGGAAACACTTGATAATTGAAGAAATGTAATCATTTTCGTATATGTTTGAACCAATTTCCAATATGGCTCTCAAGGTCACTCAAGGTCACTGAATACAGTCTAAATAAGAAACCATGCAACCAAAACGAAATCGTAATTATTTATTACCAACATATCTGTTTTCGGTTTCTTCACCCTCCTTGGTGTCTGAGAAGGCGATTCAATTGTCATAAGACGATGATAAACTTTCTCGAGTTGAAATCTCGATCTCAATATGGCTGCCGTAATTTATTGTAATTTCGTTTTTCGCTTCACCTAGAGTTTTACTTTTACACAATCATTACCCAGAATGCATCTACACATGGAGAAAAAATTTGTTTCTAGAAAAATTCTTATACTTCTTCAATTATCAAGCGTTTGACGTGTGTAAGGTAGGATTAAATACATTATCGACGAAGAGCATATTCTAATACATAATTTGTGTGATTTTGGTTGCCTAAACAGGCCAGGAAAGCATTTCCCTCAATTTACAACCGGGAAGTGTGTACGACCCTAGACTAGTATGCAAGAAAATAACAAAAAATAAATATCCAAATTATCAAAAAATAATGACAAATAAAGCATACGATGGTCGGATTTATATGACTAATTTGGTCCTTTACAGCGTTTTTTGCGTCTCTAACTGTCTCTGGACAGAGAGTGAGAATGCCAAAAAATGATGTAAAGGACCACAAAGGACTTCATACAACTTCCTGTGATACTTGTTAGCTAGGCTAGATACTGTAAATACAAGCATATACCCCAAGGTCAATCTTTGGCTTGCTCGATATTTTACTACAAAAATAAAATGTATAAATGATGATTCTATTTCTATATAACATTCACTTTTATTGCTGCTTTCCTAGGTAAGATTTAGCATGGTCAGTTGTCATCACATTATGTCGCAGACATGTGTAAGATGTGTAGGAGACACTTCTCTTGTCCATAACAATACCAAGGGTTGGTTTCTCATTGAAAGGCTTAACTACGTAACAAAGAAATGAAATGAAAAATATTGAATAAAAAGTCATGATGACATATTTCTGTTGAACATATTAACATTGTGCAACAGAAGTTATTGATCCGTCAACGTTAAATATAAATAAACATGATTGTATATTAGCTTTGAGTAAATAACATTTTTTATAATATTAATATGAGACCTTTAATATGTATCTATCATTGCAAATTGATACTTACATTGTACACAATATAAATGTATTACAATTATTTAGCCACCTTACTTTTGATAGGCTGAAATAGGATTATTTTTATTATTAGACATATTTATATTTAATAGCGTAATGCATAATAAAATAGTAATCACAGGCTTTTTAATACTTGACCATGACATGATATTTTGAAGAATAATCTAAAACTTAAATTCTAAAACAAAACTTTCTTTTGATTATTATGTCACTAACGGATTCTTGGAATCCAAAGATTGACAAGATTAATCAAATCAGATAAAAATGACGTTATAGAGTGACATTTCTGCGAAGCAAACTTAAAGACACAAAAACTTTTCTTCCTGGTAATAACACATACCAGATCGATCAATAAGTTCTGAGAAAAATCGTCTAAAATCATTTCCCCAGTTCATTCTTCTGTTATCTGTTGAAGTACAGACATCATATAATTCATATGGTATCATTGTTTATATTGAGGATCTCACTTTCATTAAATAAACACACATGTAGTAATCTATATGTAGTTAGTAATGACTTTGTGGATTATATGTAAGCCACATTCTTATACAGTAAACAGTAGCTATTTATCTAGAGATCTTATTTAGCTCTTGTGTTGCCTTAGCTGTATATGCCTTCCTAGTCCTACATGTGCAATTAAAACCATAAGCTTAACATGGGGCTGATTTGCTACATTGGGTGACTAATTGAGCTTAATTGAGTTATTTTGTTGATATATGTCATTTTCTTCCTAAATGTTTACTGTATAATTATTCACTCTATTAAATTAAAGCTTTTTTGCAAGGACTCTAGTTCTAAACTTTTTAAGTGTTGTAATTAAGGTGTTTATATTTTGAGAGTCATATAACATTACGAATCTAATAGAGAAAAATAAAAAAAAGTCCAGTTCATGAAAGTACTAGGGCTTGATTAATAGTTTAAGACCAACATAATATGATTTTTGGTGCAAAACCACAGAGATGGTATCAATCATGGAATTTAAAGTGTTTTAGGTCTTTGGGAATAGACAGAAAGAAATATAAGGTCTTATATTTGCCATAATTTATAGAATTGAACAGGCCTGTAGTCACTAGCCAGGATTTGTCAAGGGGGTTTCAGTGTTCATAAAATTTCCAGGGGGTTCACATTTGACAATTATGGACCAAATATGCCTAAAATTACTTGAGAAGCGCTCAAAATTGTGAAAAACTGCATGATTTTGAAAGAATTTTTGGCCAGGGGGGGATTCGCCGAATGTTCCGAACCCCACCTTGGCTGCTTGCCTGATGGAATAATGTATCTAATGTAATGATAAATTATCCTATGGAGATCTATAATAAATAGTAAATCTAGAAGTCATACTCAAACATATTTATACTCAAACATATTTCTGATAACACATTTTAGTTGACATACTTTTTTATTATATACAAGATAAGAATGATTTGGATAACAACTTCAAATATAATAGGCTATAAAGCATGCATGCATTCAAAATATCAATTTTTTCATGAAAATGACTAATTTATATATGTATTTTTGTATTTTTTTTTTGTATTTTTGTCAATTTCATTTTGATTCTGCAAGGGTTAAATCTTCTATCTCTTCCAAGAAAACTATAGCTGAACTTGAAAGATCATGTGAAGGTTAAGTTCATCAATCTTACAGCATTGAATAACAATTTATCTTGGATGGAGTAATTTTGTTATTTAACTATGTGTTGTTTAACTGTGTGTTATTTACCCTTTGCATTCGTTCGACTTCACTTCTTAAAAGAGAGCTCCGCCTTCACTCTTTCAAACTAAAATAAACCTGTGAACTCACCGCGCCAATCAGTGCTCGTCGGCCAAATTTGACCGACGTTCTATATATGGTCATTCCTTCTGACGTCATCGTTAAGCCCGGAATTGACCAATGACAATTCACAATTTATTTTCGCGCGTGTTTCTTCCAACTCGCTGATTTGTGGAAGAAAGGTCAGCGCGTAGGTCAGAAGTGATTTATTACCCAAACTGTCACCGGCACCCGTCGTGGGGGCGGGGCTACTAAACTGTAATATGGTCTCTACTAGGCAGAGTGTAGTTTAACTAGACTCTGCACGCAGGGTATGTGTTATTTAACCATGTGTTGTTGGACCAATGTTATTAAACCATGTGTTATTTAACCAAGTGTTATTTAACCATGTGTTATTAAACCATATCATGATCCCTGACTTTTAAAGAAAAAACTGCACAACAAAATGTTGCACTTCGAGTTACAATTTTGAAAATGGCTTAGCACCCAGTTGAAAAGGAGAGGGGTCGATTATTAATATCCACCAAAAACAATCCTATGAATATTCATAGCTATACATAATTAATAAGAGGATATTCTATTGTAATATACTGTTGTTGTTTGTGAACCAGGAAGTACAATGAATATCACAGACATGATTTTATCTCAGAAGTCAATATTTTGAGTCAACACAGAATTTAGATAATCTTGATCATTAAAACATAGTATTCTAATACTCCTGATATTTTCCTCATTCTAAATCTTCATCCGTGACTTGTATCATAAGAGAACAGAATTATCTACCCTTTGCATTCGTTTGACTTCACTTCTTAAAAGAGAGCTTCGTCTTCACTCTTTCAAACTAAAATAAACCTGTGAACTCACTGCGCCAATCAGTGTTCCTCGGCCAAATTTGACCGACATTCTATATATGGTCCTTCCTTCTGACGTCATCATTGAGCTCGGAATTGACCAATGACATGCGCATATTTAATTAGAACGCATTTGGCGTATGTTTCTTCAAGTTCGCTGATTAGTGGAAGAAAGGTCAGCGCGTAGGTCAGAAGTGATTTATTACCCAAACTGTCACTGGTACCCTTCGTGGGGGTGGGGCTACTAAACTGTAATATGTTCTCTACTAGGCAGAGTGTAGTTTAACTAGACTCTGCACGCAGGGTAAGAATTATCTGATAGTTTCACCTATTTTGTATATCTTTGGGTAGAAGTGTTCAAGATTAGAATTTTGCACCCAATTAATTTAAGAAAATCGTATGGTGAGACATAAAACTGAAGTCGATGTACCTGTATAAGTATGTGGTTGGGAGGTATATTTTCACATCACTAACGCATGAGAATCAAATCTGACATAGGAATGTGTTGGTATGTCCAATTATAAACAATCACTATTGAGTTCTGAGTAGCTGAAGAATGTTTGCTAAAGATAACAGACTATTTATCATTTATTCACATTTTCACAATCTACATCTGGATATAGGCACCTTGAATTATGAATGGGCAAGAATGGATATTGTCCTTATATAGACTAAATATCTATTTTGGAATGCTTTCAAAATTAAAAATCAGAGAAAATCTGCCTTATTGAGAATTCCAAGAAGTCTCCTGTCCCCTCATGCAAACCATTAGTTTCTTTATATTGAAACCAAATAAGATAAAGTCATTCTTGAATTTTATTGACACTTTCCATTTGATCTTTATCAGTTTCTTCATATTCCTCTCCCTATGTTATTCAAGCTCTTAAAGTTTATGCAGAACTGCATGAGTTTGTGTACATGAGAATAAGTCCTATAATCACCCAGCTTCTGAATCAGAACCCAGTAACTTGAGATCTACATGTGGTTTCTGAAGCATCTAAGCCCATTACTGAAATACCTTAGCTAAAATGATCAAATCTGTGGTAACATTCTAGTCTATTCTACTGTCATTTCAGGCATCATTATTTAAACTTAGTGGAATCGACCACAAAAGGAGGAGTCTAAAATCAGCTTCATCGTCATGGAAACCGAAGTACATCACCCTGAGGCGAAGTGGAACTACAGTATGGCTCAACACTTATGATAAGAAACCAAAGACTCAACAAGAGGAGCCTAAAAGTAAGCTGAACTTGAAGCCTTGAAATAGATAAAGCTTGTGATCTAACATGATCCATGTATTTATCAGCTAGTTAGGAATACAAACACGTTCTTTGAAATTGGGTAGTACCTAGACACTTGTTAAACTTTGAGACTGCATTCTTCGTATGAAGAACTTTATACAGTAAAACCAGTAATGAGAACCTCCCTTATCTTTTCTCGTTCTAAAAAATCTTGAAATGCGAAAGACCTGATAATCCAAACTTTTAACCAGTCGTTGCATTCAAATTAGTTAGGTTTTCCTGTATCAGTGATTTCCCACGCATCAGAGTAACTTGTTGTTGAAGACTATTGAAAATTCAAAAACCACATGTTGCTTTCTTGAAAATCTGTTTGCATCATGCTAAAAGGATGAAATATTGACCAAACCGATAAAATGAGGATTTATTTGTGATACAAATATATTGGAGAAAATATTATATCAGGTTCTTCTGTTTTAGTCTCTTTCTAAAGAGAATTGTTTCTATTTATAAAGATACTTATCCATTTGAGCCATTAACTCAAATATTTTCAAACAACTACAAAAAATGTGAGGTATCATTTTTCTATGACCATTTTCAATTTATATTTGAATCAATCAGTCTAAAGGTTTATGCAGAATATCAACTATTTTATGTCACCACCAGAATTGTTATAGTCTCCAACTTTTTTGTGTCCGGTGGTCAGTGTTGGTAACAAATGGCAGGTGGTGACATTTTGCATGTTAATGCCTTGTTTTAATATTACATTTCAGTTCAGACAAGAAGCTGTCTGAAAAAAATATTTTTCAAACCTTTGATACCGTGATAAAGCACATTGCACTAGCTCCTAGTTGAATTTTAGATCACATCTACATATCAGTATGACCTACAGTCTCTCAAATCTAAAGCAGTAAAAAACTAAAAAAACAGTTTGTTTACGTTTATCAGGATTTACTAGTTTTGTTTTAGTGTTATTTGACAACTAGAGAAGTACTTATTCTTAGCCTTTAAATGACATTAATTTTCCAAACTAAAAAACTAGAAACTGTTAAGTTGTTTAGAAAAAAAACTATGTAGTACATGTATAATAAATAATCATTGTATTGTATAAATAATCATCATATGATAAAAATAATCATTGTATTATATAAATAATCATCGGCTTATATGAAGAATCATTTCAGGTAATGAAACATACATCAATATATGACTGCGGCATTTTTCCTTTATACTCAAAAAAATGATTGAATGTTTGAATTCCAGGTAAAACCCAGCTTGGTCCAAGGATCAAAATTAGCAAGAAAAATGACGTCCGGGGCAAGCCATATGTATGTGAGCTGTGTACCAGTAACAAGTATATCTACCTTGCCACGGAGACACAAACCGCCCTAGATCTACTGGTCTTCATGTGTCAGACACAAGTGAAACTTAAGGAAGATAATGAAGGTAGGATACTAGATATAGTGTTTTCCCTGGTGTCATTCAACAAAGGTTTCAAAATTCTTATTTTCATAATGTTGACTAAAATTCAAAGATGCCAGTTATTTTTTATACACCAAGAAATGGTAACATACTGTTACAGCTCACCAGATTAGGGTGGCTGCGTAACAATTATTACAACCAGGTGGTAACATTTTGTGGCTTTTGTCATTTCAATGCCTTATCTTTTTCCCATTCAAATGGGCATTAAATTTTCCTTGCATTTTTATAAAATTTCTCAGTTTCATGTAAAAGCCATAGAAAAAGGGTTAAATTATATGTGTTCCTTTTCAAAAAAAATCTTCCTGTTTATAAATACATTCCCAAATTGAAAATAACTTTAGTTAAAAGTTCCATATGTGTTATGTTACACTTTTAGCATTGTTAACCATGAATATCAAATTACAAATTCCGATATCAAGTTCAAAAGTCCTGTATTGCATTTAGGGAATTAGTTTTATTATGGTGATTGCGTTTTATAGCAACAATTATGCGGTGTAATATGAATACGAATTATTACTGATCATTGAAGATATTTGACTTCTTGAATGCGACTCTGTTATTTCGTGGTTTATGAATATACCCAAATAAAATGCAAACAGTTGAAATTCCTATTATTTAAATGAACTGCCAATACATAGGTATGTAACTACTTCTTCGTTTAGATGTATAAGAAAACATAGTGTTTTATCTGTATCCATGGTGTCACAAGATGATTAAAAGGAGACATTACTTTCATTTTCATTTTGTGATAGCAGAAATATACAGTCAGTTGAATGATTTTATGTATATGTCTCACACTATTTTAATTTGATTCGTTTATATTTATCTCTCTGCATGCCTATGATTGTACTCACATTTTCAAGATGAAGATGGTTTAATAAAAATACATGTATAAATACATGTAACCTAAAATGGCATTGAGTCAACAACTGTGTCAATTACCCTAATATGGTTCATTTGTATTGCTTGATTGTTTGAAATTAATTTAATTATTATTTGGTTTTATAAAAAATCTAAATGACCATATAGACTCATCTGTCGTCTATTAAGAGTTAATTTAGAATCCCATTTAACTATACCTAACCTTTACATTTCTGAGCTGTGATAGATCAATCCTGTTTTGATTATTTATTTTTCTAATATTAGCACTTCAGGGACCAGATCAATGTTTTTGCTACATATAAATTAATAAAAGCTCAGACCCCCTCCCAGTGTTTGCTATATCTTATTGAACATTGTTATTGTGTTACCACCATGGTGACATATTGTTATGTCTCCAACTTTTTGTGGATGGTGTTTGGATTTTGTTGTTTGATGTTTGGTGGTCATTGTCTATGACAGATAGCAGGTAGTGATATTTTGCATGTTAATGCCTTGTTTTAGTTGCAGTTGCAGTTAATGATTTCCCTCTAACAAAACATGGGTTTTACTATGATATAGAAAATCCCTCCATCTGTTAATATTAAATCTACCTGGAAACCATAATTCCATTCTTGCAATACCTCAAATACCAAAGCTGCAATCCTTAACACATCACATACTTTGTATAAACCAGTGCACAGAGCAACATGGGAGGAACAAAAGCACAAATTTTAACTTTACCTACAATTTCAACCATTTGTAAATTATGTTAAAAAATATGACATACATCAAATATTAGTTTCTAAGAAACCCACATCTCCCGTATTACAATCGCAAGATTTGAAATGTGTATGGCTATAAATGCAACATACGTGTACATGTACAGTATATAAGGGCACGAGAACTGTATTACTTTTCAGCTGAAAACTACCCACATATAGTAACCATTAACACTTTATATATTACATACATTATCTATTTTGTGTTATATACAACTGCACTGTATAAACATGGTTTCACATCTCTCATTTAGTAATATATCTGTACAGATGCCAGCATACATGATGTTAAAGAAGAAAGAGATAAGAATTATCGATTTTGAGAATTTTTTATCTATTCATATGTCCTTATGAAAATGTAACATTTAGTAATCTGTATGCCATGGGCCCAGCATACGTGTTATTTTAAAGAAAAAAAATTGATTTTGAGAATTTTTTATCTATTCATATGTCCTTATGAAAATGTAACATTTAGTAATACATATCTGTATGCCAAGGGCCCAGCAATAGCATACGTGTTATTTTAAAGAAGAAATCGATTTTGAGAAGTTTTTTTTATTTATTCACATGATGTCCTTATGAACCTGAAATAAAACCTAGATTTACATGTACTCATACATTGCACTGGGAATGAAATTAAGTTGAAAACATAAAAATAATGTCATATCAACCTGCGGCATTTAAATTAGCTTTATTGTATTTATTATTTTAGTATAAGTACGCATTTTATTGAAAAAGCACCTGTCACTCTTATACTCTTTACTAGTGCCTGGTCATCTCAGGATAAATCTTTATATGAAACTATAAGTGAAACAAATACTGCCCAGGGATATTATCTAAAACAGAAATGGATCAGTAGCTATCCATATTTTCTACATTTATCATGTCTTTAATATCCATCATGATTTTATCTTTGGCTTAAGGTATTATCTGAATTAAAATATAAGTGAGGCAACTTTAAATAGGTGAAGCAAAACTTGTCCAGCTAGGATACCATACCATCTTATTGAACTTCAGTTTCATTGAGAAAGGCAATATTGCCTCAAAGCTAACTGTGTTCATGAAAAACCCAGGCCTGTAGCCAGCCAGGGGGAGGGGGGGGGGTTTAGGGGGGTTTGAACAAACAAAAATCACATTGCATAAAGCTAGAAGTTTGTATGACTTCATTTCGTCCTTTCAGAGTCATCATTTATTGTACGACCAGAGGACAGTGAGGCACACTGCAGGATTGGTTCCCAAGGTAGCACATGCTTCCTGCATATCTCCCCATCAGGTGTCACGCTGGCTCTACAGGTGAGTAAAAGTGTTTCCTACATATCTCACCACCAGGTGTCACATTGGCCCTACAAGTGAGTCAAAGTGTTCCTACCTATCTCATCATCAGGTGTCACATTGGCTCTACAGGTGAGTTAAAGTGTTTCCTACATATCTCACCACCAGGTGTCACATTGGCCCTACAAGTGAGTCAAAGTGTTCCTACATATCTCATCATCAGGTGTCACATTGGCCCTACAAGTGAGTCAAAGTGTTCCTACATATCTCACCACCAGGTGTCACATTGGCCCTACCAGTTAGTCAAAGTGTTCCTACATGTCTCATCATCAGGTGTCACATTGGCCCTACAAGTGAGTCAAAGTGTTCCTACATATCTCATCATTAGGCTCTACATGTGAGTCAAAGCGCTTCCTACGTACCTCATCATCAGGTGTCACATTGGCTCTACAGGTGAGTCAAAGTGTTCCTACATATCTCATCAGCAGGTGTCACATTGGGTTTACAAGTGAGTCAAAGTGTTTCCTACATATCTCCCCATCAGGTGTCACATTGGCTCTACAGGTGAGTAAAAGTGTTTCCCACATGTCTCATCATCAGGTGTCACATTGGCCCTACAAGTGAGTCAAAGTGTTCCTACATATCTCATCATCAGGTGTCACATTGGCTCCACAGGTGAGTTATAGTGTTTCCTACATATCTCACCACCAGGTGTCACGTTGGCCCTACGAGTGAGTTAAAGTATTTCCAACATATCTCATCAGGTGTCACATTGGCTCTACAGGTGAGTCAAAGTGTTCCTACATATCTCATCATCAGGTGTCACATTGGCTTTACAAGTGAGTCAAAGTGTTCCTACATATCTCATCATCAGGTGTCACATTGGCTTTACAAGTGACTCAAAGCACTTCTTACGTACCTCATCATCAGGTGTCATAATCACTCTACAGGTGAGTGTTTCCTACATATCATGCAGTGCGCTGCAAATAAGCTAAGGGGAGATGGTCGCAATGACATGACAGACCAGTTGCAATGTTATTTTCTCATTCTTAGTGAAAAGATCAACTGGTCTCTATCAAAAGCAACCTGGCAATGACCAGTTAACAGACTCCTTTCTGAAGCCCTGATTTCATGGTTTCACACATAAGTTAATCTGTAGCAGTAAAATAGATCTGCCTTGTAACAAATTGTTCCATATCTTTGTAATTTGAAATTATGAGGAATTGGTATTTGGTATTGGTAATTCACGTAATTGGTATTTGTATAGTCTCAATTGGGAAATGGAGCTCATTGTACATCTGTTTGTATTAACTATAAAAAGTTTGGAAATAGTTTTTTAGAAGTACCATTTTTACAAGTGTTGATATGTAGAAGTTGGTTCAAAAGTTAATCCCTTACACCTGTCATCATATAAAATACTATTCTCGTACCAAATTATGCAATTTCATCATTGATAATGAAGAACTCAGAAAGGTTTTGATAACTTTACTGCTGTTTGAAAGATGGCGCATGAGTGTGTGATAAAAATGTTTAAGCATTTGAATATCAAGAATTGATAAATTGGAAAATGGAAACTTGAACTCCATGTAATTGTTCTTTTCAACATTTTCGTTAATTGCAAAAATACATGACCATTTATCATGTAGAAAATGTGTTTTGGAAATCCAAGCAGCACCAAAAACCATTAGATATAAACCATGCCCAACTATAAAAGCATGAATGGCAGGATATATACAGTAGGAAACCCATCAATTCTGAATATAGAATGACCCCAAAGTAGTTTAACATTGATTTTTTGAAGAATGCAAATGTATCTTATCCTGCTGTATGTTAACCTCTTGAATCCCAGGCTCTAAAATTGGCATGAAACCAGAAAATTTTTCATTTTTTGCCACCTTTTGACATTTTATTACATACCTATACAACTTTAGATGCTCAGCTTAGTAAAATTGGACGGCAGAGATCATTTCTACACATTTTAAAACAATTTTTGTTTAAATTGGATGAAAATTGTTCAAATGAGAGCAATTTTTGTGAAAAATTTTGTGACGGATTTTCTCGTCCCTCTGGGCACCAGTCTTATTTCATTTGTGACGGATATATCCGTCACTCTGGGTATTCAAGAGGTTAATGTTTAATTCTCAACCATATTTGCTACAGTTCTTTCGAGATTCACTAGTTGGTGTCTCAAAATACACTGTTGGTGTCTCAAAGTACAAACATGTATTATTTTTATTAATTGTAGTTAACAAGAGCTGTAGTGTCTCAGTGGCCTCTGAAGTGTATCAGGTGCTATGAGAGTGATGGGAACGCTAGGTTCATGCTTGAAGCGGGGAGGAAGTCACCCATGGGGCATGGCTTGTATAACTTCAACACACAGAGGAACCAAGATAATGAAATATATGAACTACTGGATGGTTACATTATGAATGCAGCAGATGAGCAAAAGGTAAAATAATTCAGATGAATAATGATTAAGTTTTCTCTTTGTTTTTGATATACAATGTTCATATAAACATATTTGTGAGGTGTACTTATAAAAAAACTGAAAGGAATGTATTAAAGGAACACTATTTTATCACACTCCCTATGGGATTTTGCGTCCCCTGTTGACTCAGTTGGCTCTCTTCAATCTTGTATGGCCTCAAGGCCTATAATTGCCTGAATAAACATGAACAGGACCTTGACAGCTGATAATTATGATGTCCATTATAGCCCATTATTTTTGGGCTGTACATTCCCTAACAAGACCCATATATAGATTTATGTGTATGTGTAGGTAGATGCAGAGATTTGATGTAAGACTGAGGATCATTACCCCATTATATCTCCCATAATGAGAACCATATACACAAAGTATTATATTTTTACAGAGACTGCCCGTCGCTCAAAGTGCAGAAGAAGGAATTCTCATGGAACACGAGGCGATGCAAGCTCTCACATTAATAGATGGCGATACAACCTTCCAAGCCCAGATTAATCGTATCGCCAGAGATTGTTTCTTAGACCCCACATCCTCGGTGCCAAACCTTGGTAAGTAACTCATATTGAATAAGAGTGGATGTTTCCGATAAATCGGATCTTTTGATCCATCAGAGAAACTGTATTATATTGACTAGATTGATAATATCATTTGTTGAAAGTAGCAATTTGTCCATTTGTTATAACTTATTGCTAATTTTGAGAAACCTAGGACTACCTATGGCATCATCAATCTCGTCAATATATTGTCGTTTTCTGATGGATCCTGTCTGGATAGTTAGTCTTATTTTACTTTTTTATATTGTAGAGAGGAGGGAGAGTGTTGGAGTGAACAGCCGACCCGACCTTCTATCTCACTCCCCATCTGTACAACAGAAAAAGTTCCTCAAAGAGAATAGGTATGTTTTGTCACTTTATTTATTTATGTTCATGTTGGACAAAATACATTGTTATGTCACCAGCACATGTGGTGACATATTGCTATAATCTCAAAATTTTTTGTGGATGACACTCGGTGTCTGGTGGTCAGCGTTCGGAGTTTGGTGTCTGTAACATATGGCAGGTGGTTCAATTTTGCGTGTTATTGCCTTGTTAGATCTTGGTGGATGTTTACCCTCAACATCTTATTTTTTCTACCAAATGTTTTTCTGGTTTCAAATTTCTTCAATGATGTAGATTCTTCAACTCAATGATATATTTTAAGTACAGAACTGACTGATTAGTTTTGTTTTTTTGTTGTTTTTTTAATCATTTATTTCATAAATTAAGTTCATGGAAAATTATACATGTTATACCGCCTAGGTTTGAACGTAAACATTGTTGGCAATAGGTTATAAGTAGGTACATAATATCATATAAGATATGAAATATAATGACGTTACACCATATCTAAAGAATCAAGAATATACAAGTGGACATTTAATAGTGGAAAGTACATACATGGATATGCAGATCAACTGATATGCACATACAACTGATTAGTTGTAACCAAAATATAATGTCCCCAAGATCTAAAATGGCCCATAAGTTAATGTTTAATGCATATTTTATTGCTGAGATCATTAACAATAGATCTGCATCAGCTTCAGTTTGATGGACTTATGATCCCTGATCTTAGGTCGGTGTTCTTTTAGTTATTTAGATAAAAGTACTTTGTATATGTTTCTATTGTTTACTGTTACTTTGTTACTCATAGAGCTAAGATTTATATAATCGTGAATATTGTTTTCAGTTTGTCGACACAAACATCCATCGAGGAACGACCCCCAGCCTTGCCACCCAAGTCAATTCGTCCACCCCCCAGAATTCCTTTGCCCGTACCTAGACTTTACGTGAACACTTCACCAAGCAAATCATCAAAAACTGTTTCCAGCTCATCGAGCAGTCAACAAACTTTTGATTTACTGGATGGTCACAGGGTGGGAGAATCCCAGGAAATTGTGACGTCAATAAAAAATGTAAAGACAGAAGTGACGACGTCGCAGTTTTTGACGGAAGATTTTTATTATGAGAATTTACCTGACAACCCCAAAGCAGCTCATATGGTAAACATGAAGCAGGTTGCCGGGGGAGATAAAGTAGAGCCAGTTAATCATTTTTTAGACGATCCAGCCCTTGAGGATGAGTATTTACATATGGGTCAGATAAAGCCTCAGGGTGCTTCAGAGAAGACTCCTCCCCTCCCAAAGAGGCCCACCAGTAGGCTTCAGGCGACACCATATAAGGCACTTCAATTGTCATCCAGCAAGACACCCCTTGGCCCAACATCCTCTAACCAGAGTTACGCCTCATCCACCAGCTCTTACATGTATGATCAAATGACACCCCCTCCTACCTTTGATGAGGCTATTACATTAGGATTCACATACGATCCTAATCACCCAGTGCCGCTTGATGCTATGATAACTGATGAGTTCGGTCCTGATTCCCCGAGTATATACATGCTCCCTGATGCCCCCCTGCCCCCAGGGATGACATCATCCCCAGAGAAATCCAACCCCAAACACGAGGATACACAAAGTCCCGAGAGTGCATACTTCGAGATGTCAGATTTGAAATCTCCCGGTCGGGAGAGTAATAAGGGGGCAAGGGTCCCCAAGAGTGCCATACCAAAGTCAGCCCGACATGCAATAAAGAGACAACAGTCGCAAAGTTGTGAAGACCTTACTCGCCATATGAAAGAAAATATTTTTAACTTCAACGCCAATGATACTATAGAGGATGATGAGGGACAATACGATGAGTTAGTATTTGATAAGCCATCACCTTCATGTCCTTTAACACCCAAACTAAATGCCAGTTTGGAAGCTTTAGGATTGGACACAAGAAGAAAAAGTACACCTAAACCTTTCGTTGATTTACAGAACTTTACAAATCTTCAGCGCATCAGTGGATTAAGTGACCGCAGCTCGACTGCCAGTAAAATTAGTGGACACTCAGATACCCAGGATGACCCAAATGTAATTCATGAGACTGCCAGTTTTGATGAAGTTAGACGGAGGTTTAGCAATCGTGCAAAGGATTCTAAACTTCGTCGATCTTTATCTCAGCCTGATATGTTAGAAGATTTCTCCAATCCACCACTTCCTGAATTGCCTTCAACAGCATTTAAGCCTGCAAGTCGGGTTGGACCAGGTCCCAATAAGACTTCCAATAAGTCGTCCGTATTTAGGTTTTTGCCTCGGTCGCTAGGACGACGAAAAAGTAAGGGATCCAGTCCAACTAAGGAAGTCTTACTACATCCATCAGAAATCGACTCCATGGCCATCAAATCACCCACTGATGTTCATGTCTCGCAGAAATCTAAAGCATTCGTCAAGAAAACAAAATCTCAAGATAATGTTTTAGAGGTTCTTGAGGACAATGTTAACACATTGAGTCTAAAAAGAAAGAAAAAATCAAAGTCATTATTCAAAAGATCAAAATCGCAAGAAAATGTCTTGGATGACTTTGAAGAGCCAAGACCAAGGTCAAATACAGACTACATGCAGAATGAACATGATCTTGCACATTTGGCTAATGAACATGCTAAACAATCTGCAATTATGGATGAAAGTTGGACAAATAGGGGTCACGTGAGCGTCGATTTTTTGGTGTCTGGGGGGAGTGAACATGTGCCACATGACCATAATTCCAATCAGTTTGGTACTCAAGATACCTACCCCCAGGCATTTTATGATGGCTCTAACAGAAACAGCAACCAAGTTGTGGGACAGTTTATTAATGGAGCATACAGTCATGGATTTAAATCTGACCAGTCAGGGCCACTGATACAAGGGGACCAATCAGAGAGGCTGTTACATCCTGACCTGGACAATGCAAGGTCATCTCAACTGAAAAATGGAGTTCAAAAACGGCCAGGATCTCTGTGGGAATCATCAGTTTAAAAATGTGTTAATAAACTTAGCTTCAGTAAATTTAGTGTAGATATTATGTATGTGAAGATCAAGACCCATTTTGATAAGCATTTTGAAATGTAAATCCCAGTGACTACCATGTTTACAATTTGTCCCGGGATTTGTCATGGGAAAACCATCTAATCTCAGACATTTTCAACAGTCTCAATAGGGCCCATTTAGAAAATATATGTAACTATTTGATATGTACCCAGGTATGGATTTACATTAGATTAATCCATGTGCCTTTGTGTTTGCATTTGGAAGCTGTATTCTTATAGGTGGTAGCACTATACATTTCTTGTATCGCTACACGTATGCTAGAAAACTAAGCTTTGTGCTTGGACCATTTTTCAGATCTTTTTTTTCTACTTCATATTATGATTGGTAAAGGTATGTTGTTGAAAGAAACTTATTGTTTTTTATGTTTTACTGGTATAGAATTGTCAATGCAAGGACTATGGCTATCATATTTTGAGAATATCTTACCATAAGTATCTTCTATCGAATCTTTAAATGTTATTGTGCTTTAGCCATAGCTAATCATATAAGATCTCATACACATACAATGTATAATGGCTAGAAATTTCAATACATGTTTGCTTTCATATACAGTATAAGTTTTTTGTTTGTCCAGGGGTTTCATTAGCAGCAGGCAACAGGCAATAGGCAATTTTCACTGGTTGTGTTCACAAGATTGCCTTTTGTTTTTAGGGACTTTTCAACTTTTCCATGTTAAATTTATGATTTCCATTAATTTTGCCCGTTGTTTCCATGTACTTATTTAGCCTGTTGTGAGAAATTCTAGTGAAACCCCTGATGTTACTCTAAAATAGTTTATGGTTTATCAGTGTATGTTTGTCAAATTATCAGCATTTATTCAGAATTACTTCAGAGCATTGAGATTGTACAGTATTACCAATATTGGTTACGGAATCCATTTTGTATGTTAGGCTATGTATGAAAAACAGTGTACATATTTGTTCATAGATGTGAAATAGACCAGGCATATATTACCAGATTTTGCCAGGGGAGGGGTCAAATTTGACAATTTTGACCCAAATGCACTTCAGAAGTGTTCAAAAATTATGAAAAAATTTTTGGGCCAAACAAGGCCTTCAGGCCCCAAAAAGTGGGCCTTTTTGGTCATTACTGGGCCTTTTAAGGCCTTATTTGTTAATTTCAGGCCAAATTTTGAAGAAAATGGGCCTCAAAATTTCAAAAGTTGGGCCCACTTTTGGATTTTAGGGGCCCAAAATTTTTTTTCTCTGACCTGAAATTTGGGCCCCCCCCCTTGTTGGTTCCTGGATCCGCCCCTGGTATTAGTATATTCCATTATGTTAAATATATTTCCTCAAACATGGTTAGATCTTCAGTACATGTATCTTATCTGTGAATATTATGTATTAAGTTACTTGTTCTATCATTGTAATTGTTCCATTACTCTCTCTGCAGACCTTTCACTGAGATTTTTTGAGAATTTGTCTAAATTGAGGGATTATTTTCAAGAATTTCCTGTTAATGTTTGACAAAATCAGTTCACTTTATTGATTGGTTGCATTGATCTGTTGCTATGACAACATGTGGTAGAGTGAAGCAGCCAATGAAGCATTTTGAGTCTGCAGAGAGAAGGAATGATGCAAAGTCACACTCCATGATATGCCTGGCCTGGAGATTGCACATGGTTGTATTAATGCATATTACATGCGTAACCCTTCAGCATGACCCTTCCACACTGGTATCTAATTAAAGGTTTGCAATACATTTAGGTGTTGTGTTAAAAACAAGTCATTTTTATGCAATGGTGATATTTTTTTTAGGGAGTGAATAATGACTTGAATTAAGCCCTCATAGATTGAGCTTAGCTGATGTTGGTTAGTTGGTTACTATGAAACTTTGTTTCATTCTTGTGGCCATGGGAGACATAATATTATGGGGTGAGGTTCCTGTGTCTTATGTTAAATGGGTGTGCACTCTTTCTGTTTTATTTGATTTGTTCGACATCGTGAGTTTTCTGTTTAACAATGATTGTAAGAAAGTAACGACAGTGTTACCCTAGGAAGATATGTAAATATTCTAGAGTGTCCGCAAACAAAATGTATCAAATAATTTTTTGATGCACGTCAAGGTGGTCATGATTTGAAATGCACATAACAGTGGAAAAGAGAGAAATAAGCGAGGAATCGAATTAACATTCATATAGGGAGAACTCTAAATTGTTCAGAATTTTAAAAAATAGGTACTTGGGTCAAGATTTAGATAGAAATCATGAAGAATAAATGTGACCTTTGAGTATTTCTAAAATGGACTCAAAAACCTCACTGATGCTCAATCAATGTTGGGTTACATTTCAAGGAGTTTTCTATGCACACATATTAAAGTATTAAAATAGGTTGTCAACTTTGAAACATTTGAAGTTGAAGTTTGACGTGTTTGAACACTGAATTAAGAATAATCGCTCTTCCGGAGATTTTGGCAAATATGCAAGATCTTACAGGTTGTCAATCAACATAGATTTAAGAAAATATTTTCATTCGCAACTAAGTTTTTAGTTGAAAGGGTTTGAGTAACTATGGCAACTAAAGTGACACACATTAATGTAGCTATGGCAACTCACTAGATAGCTGATTGAATCCCTCCTTTTACCTTAATGGCTTATATACCTACCCCCCCCCCCCAACAAAAAAATATATATGTATAATAGTATATATAATGTAGTCTAGAATCTTGCCTAATTGGGAACTTTTCAGGGTCATAGAGAAAATAATTATTATGATTATTTTTTATATAAAAAACATCAGTATGTGCCATATACATTTGTATTGTACAAAAAACAATTTATTGTAATTAAAGGCAGAATCAGATGAGAGAGCAAGGTGCCTCAAGATGTTTCAATTTTAGAATATTTTGGCCCTATATCAATCCTTTTCTTGTCTACTTTCTAAAAATCAACTTTTTACGGGAGTATTAAAGACTTAACACTTTTTACGGGAGTGTTAAGGACAAACATTTTTGTATGTTACTTTTTTCGATAAATACTGATAAGCACATTACATTTACAATATTGGAGAATTTACACATTTTTGCACTTCAAATCTTGAATACATTTACCATTTGATGAGTTATTACCTATTTCTTAGAGATATTTTATATTGGATTGTTATAGGACCATACTGCAAACCACAAATGACCTTGCAATTTTTCTTTCTTTGATTCTGCCTTTAATAGTTGTAGCAATATAAACAGTTAAAAATATGTCAATAATCAGTTTCATTAAATTGAGAAAGGGCAATATTGCACCTTCCACTCACATTATAAATTAGAAATATATTGCTTTTTGTGAAATAATTCACAATATGTATCACTAAATGGAAGCAGTAAAATTGTATATTGTAAATTGTATATTTAATATTGTAGAAATTCAACTTCTAATCTTACATGTTCTGTTGATCAGTCATTGAGAGTATCCGCAAAAAAAAAATTGTTTTCAAAATATTGAAAAAAATATTATAAATATACACTGTAGAACAATGAAATTGTTATAGAAACTTTTATGTTTCTACATATTTCTACATACATAGCAGCTTACTGTGGGGTAGGTTTACAGTGATATATGCAAATTGTGTAATATAAAGTTTACAATATAATATGTGATAATATAAACTGGAGTTTTCTGTTTTGAATTTTCTTGTCATAGATATGATTATTGCTTAAACCATTAGACTAAAATGACATTAATATGAGAGACTTAATGCCAAATGCCATTTTTGTGGGGGCCCCGTACCCTGTGTGGACATCTTTTGTGTGAGGCCTAACTCTCTATACGGACCCCCCCCCCCTTCCCCTTCTATGTGGATCCCCCTTCTCCCTTTGTTGAATTGCCCTCTCCCTGGGTGGAGTCCTCCTTACCACATGTAAAGCCCCCTTTACCCCTGTGTGGTGCCTTTCCTTCCCCCTGTTATCTCCTCTACCCCCTGTGTGGACCTCTTCCCCATGTGTGTATCTATATGAATGGAGCCCCCTTATCATATTATGTGGATCCCTTTCTCCCTTAGTTTTACTCCCTTTCCCTGTATGGAACCCATTTCCCTGTATGGAACCCCTTTCCCTGTCTGAAACCCCCCTTTCCCCTTGTATTTATGACATGGGGAAGAAGCAACAAAAATGATATGTATGAGCAAATACTTTTTAAGTCTGGGTGTCATTAGCAAATAATTCCAATAAGTTAACCTTGAAGTTCAGTATATATTTGAGAAAAGCATTTGATCAGCATTGGATTATAATTAATTCAATTCCTTTGTTTAAGCACTTTTTGAAAATTAAAACCAAACAAGGGTGGAAACAAACTGAATTCGGTTACCACGTTAATTTTAAATCACGTCAAACATAGATTGTATAATGCACTTGCACTGAGATGTTTCAACCAATAATTCTGCTCTATTTTTAGCGAGTTCAAATGTGTCTAGTCTATTCTCATACAAATGGTGCCATGTTTAATTTAAAAACCTATTTGAGTTGAAACTTTAAGTAAGGTTAAATCCTAAAACGATCACTAATTTGCTAAAATGAATTTACTGATCAGAAGCATAAACAGAGAAATATTGGGTCTGCCTAGTGATCTACCGGGGGAAAAATATTCAAATTAAGCTGATAATGCACCTTATCTTGGTAACGGTAGCGATAAAATGAAATCTACATCTAAAAGGCCATGGCAAAAAGGTTGCGTTTCACAATCTTTATTGTAATCTTCCCAACTCCCCCTTGGATGTTTAAACATATGACAATGACTATACATATTTTGAGCCTAAATAAATGACTTATTGTACCTCAACCTCTGACTTTATTGTACCTCAACCTCTGACTCTATTGGACCTCAACCTCTGACTTTATTATTCCTCATCCTCTGACTTCATTGTACCTCATCCTCTGACTTTATTGTACCTCATCTTCTCACTTCATTGTACCTCATCCTCTGAATCTATTGTACCTCAAACTCTGACTTCATTGTACCTCAACCTCTGACTTTATTGTACTTCATCTTCTCACTTCATTGTACCTCATCCTCTGACTTTATTGTACCTCAACCTCTGACTTTATTGTACCTCAATCTCTGACTTAATTGTACCTCAACCTCTGACTTTATTGTACTTCATCCTCTCACTTTATTGTGCCTCAACCTCTGACTTAATAATATAAAAGGTAGATATGAAAGCTTCAGAATTGCTCACCTAGAAATTGTATTCTAGAGTGATGTGCAGGTTTAAATGTGAATATACTTTTAGAACATCATTGTATTAATTTCCTCACCTAATCTCCTAGATGCGAGTAGAAATAAGCATGATTTACGTCATTAAGAATTCACGATTCATATTTGGAATCTACATGTAAAATTACATCTAGAAATGTGGTTTTGAAAAGAGTTTATCAACTTTGAAAATTTGAAAAACCACAAAAAGTGAAACATCTTTTCTTGTGTTGGGCAGATAATATTTTCTTTTACTGGACATGTTTTAATTTGTATAACTATCACATACATAAGGGTAATATAAAAAGTGAACCACTAAAACTGATCGAATATTCAGGTTTAAGAGAATTTTGTAATACCCTGCCATGTTATTACCCCCGAATCAGCCACCTGGTGGCAAAACTTGTAACTACATACTCGCATCTGAGTAATTGCTTCATTCCAACATGTTAGGAAAACCATGGGACGTTAAACAATTTTTGCCCTGGCCTTGTGCATAGAAATGTGATGTTTTGTTAGATGTTATTAAACCAACGCAAAAAATGTAAGTTTTATATCCTTCAATATCACATAAGCCACTTTTATTATTTTTAAGAGGCTAAATATCTAGTGCAAGAGTTAAAATGACACTAGTTTGAAAGACAACATTTGCAAGCCTGGAAATCAATCCATAACCTGACTTAGAACTCTTGCCAAGAGTATTACTGATTGGCATGGTGTCAACTGTGTGTCTAGGACACTGATTTAAAGACCTTCAACCTTGAACTTCAAAATTTTTAGGGAAAGGTAATTATTCCTGACTGAGAAGACCCATTCTTGGTCCAATTATAATTTAATTTATTCCATAGCTGGGACAGTGATGCCCAATTGATGATCTATATCTTTTAGGGCCTCATTTCATTTGTTGAACATAATTTACAAGGTAGGTTCTGCAGAATAAATACAATGGCTCAAACATTATTTATATGGAGGAGCTTTTTATCATTTAAAATTTATATGAAGATAAAAAGAATACTAGTTATTGAAAACCCAGAATGAAATAATATGTTGCATATATAATACAAATCTTCAATTCTGTTTTTAAAGAAGACAAAACTTTGAATTTATTGTCAAATATTGATTTTGAAAATGTTAATTTCAGATTTACTGATTTACGTAGGTGAATGATCTTAAGACTAACTGTCAACACCAGGAGGAATGTTTCACTGTCAACTTCTTGCACAATTTTGCATTCTCAAAGTTCATTTCGTTCGTTGCACAGGAGGTACGGATGGCACTGGACGAAAGGCTCGGAGACTGACAATTTTGATGGTTTCCATGCAACCATGGCAACACAGAACAACACTCCCTTTGTACTCAAGCCCTCAGCCAATCATGTTGGAGGATTTCTCCAAAAGTGGTACCAGAATGAGAGTACAAAAAGGGGTGCATCTGAAGTGTGAATGATTTCATTCTGCTCATTGATAAGGACTCTCCACTTTCTCTAGGGTAGGTGTACATTTTACTTTTTTCATTGTGAAATTTTCCATGTATATTTCATCAAACTAATTTTGATATTACATATGAAATATAATTGTATTGAATAATTTTTTGCATTCATTTCTTTCATGCAGTAGATCATAGATTATGGTAGATTGCAAAAAATGACTTATGTTTAAAAATTATAAATGTTTCTAAATTAACTATAGCTTCTCATCCACTCTAAAGGGTAGTATTCTGTGAATTGATTGGTTGCAAATATTCATAAAGAATATTGTCAGTTTTTTTATTTCCAAAGATGTATATAATTTTGAATACTATTTATCATTCAAGGGTTTGCATTTTTCAAAACTACATAATCTTGAACACTTATTGTCAGTTATGATTAAAGGTAGCGACAACTGAGGGTCTAAATAAACAGGATGCTCATTTTTAGTTCCTTTTCTTCAGAGATGAAAGTATTAATATTTTAATTTATTAATCGTTGTGAAATCTAATTTTCAGTCTCAATTTTGATTCAATAGTTTGATACAATTAAAGATCTAAAATCAGTTGTCATCACATTTAATGAATGCTCATTTCTTTTTAGCGGGCAAAACCATAATAAAATACGTAATGACAATTAGATAAATGAGTTGAAAAAATAATCCATGAAAGCAGCAATTTGATAAATAAATTAAAAAATAATCCAGCAATTTGATACATTAATTGGAAAGAAAAATACATAAATCATAGTGGCAACATGATAAATGAAAAGGAAAAACACAAATGTGCCAATGTGTTAAATAAATTGGAAAAATATAAAAGTGACAATATGATTTATAAATTAGAAAGAAAATTATGTAAAAGCGGCAATATGGTTAATAAATTGGAAGGAAAATATATGAAAGTTGCAATAAGTTAAATAAATTGAAAAAACATGTAAAAGTGGCAATATGACAAATAAATTTGAAAGAAAATATATAAAAGTGAGAATATTTATTTATTTATCTCAACTTACACCGTCCCAAATGGCACTTTGATTACACTAAAAGCATTGTTAAACGAATTGAATAGAAAATAAATAGATTGGCAAGCAAAATATATAAAAGTCGCAATATGATAAATAAATTGGAAAAATATAAAAGTGACAATATGATTTATAAATTAGAAAGAAAAATATATGTGGCAATATGGTTAATAAATTGGAAGGAAAATTTATAAAAGTTGCAATATGATAAATAAATTGAAAAATAACATGTAAAAGTGGCAATATGATAAATAATTGGCAAGCAAAATATAATAAAGTTGCAATATGATAAATAAATTCGAAAAAACATGTAAAAGTGGCAATATGATAAATAAATTGGCAAGCAAAATATATAAAAGTTGCAATGATAAATAAATTGTAAAATGCAAAATGCATCAAAGTGCTTCTTTTAAATACATCCTGTGAAACATATATTCATTTTCAACATGTTAGGCTTAAAGAAATTAAAAAATATATTTCATTCCAACTTATTCTATTTTCAAATTAGTTGATCCGGCATTAGACGTCTCAATTTCACAAACAAGTACATTAAGTAATATTGCGGTTAAATGCTTGAAAAACCTCTTAAGCCTTACCCTTGCTTACATATTTAATTGAATATTAGCAGGATAGGTGTTTCCCATTTAACAAAAGGATTAGTGGACTATAGAATAAGTTCATTGTTTAACAATCAGATTTAATGTCTATAAATATCCCTGGTCTCGAACACAAAGCACAAAACTTGTTGAGAAGTCAGATTTTCCAGGGGATTAAGTGTAAGAAGGGACTTGAAGTAATAACTTGGTAAATATTGATATAGGGGAACACAAATCTTCTAAGTTACAATAAGATATGGAAAAATGCAGAGCTGAAGTTAAGATAAGAAAGAGCAAATCACTCTACTATATCTAACCCCTAGAAATGCATAAGGTACTCTGTTTGTCTAATTGTATTGTTTAGTGGCTTTAGTATATTTTTGTAAGTACCTTATTAACATCTAACAGTCATCCAATAAACCATTCATAAGGAACAGACACATAAAAACAAATCACATAATCATTACTGATAAGCCAAATGGGTTGCTCATGAACACCAAATACAAGGTATAGTAGAGTGAAATGTCATTGCTTTGAAACACTAAGAGAGATGCCTAAATATTTTATTTATTCCTCAACAAATGCTGAACAATGGGCATTAACTTGAGGCAGGTGAGGCCAAAATTTTAAAGACAATAATAACTCAGATTGATTTTCAATTGAAACTGTGAAGTTGAAGTTAAAAAAAATTATTTATGATTATAACAGAACTAATTCCTTAAGCTCAAATTTGCCCCTCCAATTTTAATTTGCCTCTTTATATTAAATTTGCCTCTCCAAATTAAAGCCTCTTTCATCTTTAGATACTGACCATGCCTCTGAACAATTGACAGTATTCGTATTTATGTGCATATGTATTACATTGCAGATTTCCAGCGCAGCATAATGCAGAAATTAATGATCCTCGCAGCCTTAGGGCTTATCTATGTCACAGTAAGTTATTTTTTATAAAATGAAATATAATTTTAGTCTTGTATAAAGCCTTTGGCTCTTCCCACTATCTAATGTTTTAAGGTACACAAGGAGTTAATGTAATATAGGGGTTTAATGCAATACTTAAGGATGTTCCCTGGACGAAGTTGAAAACGATGAACACCAACCCCTAATTTTTCTTTTCAAAATGTGAAGTACATAGCATAACTAAGTGTTTCTGTGAGTTTAAGAAAAAGTTAAATATTCAAAAGTGTGTTTTGGGGTGAAAACCTGATTTTTAACATGGGTTTCAATGAGAAAGTGCCACGCCCACTTTTGTCAAATATTGACACTTTAGAGGCCTCTTGCTCAGAAAAAAGCACACTAACATATGGTTTTTAAAGTTTTAATATTCTTTGTTGCCCGTGAGAATCCCAGAAAACCATTTTTGAGAAAAAGTTAAATACTATTGAATATTTTCCTATCTGACCAGGGAACATCCTTAAGTATAATTTCTAAAATGGATGAATTGAAATAACTTCATGCACAGTTCATACTTGTTCAAATTTTCAGACTGCTCATTGTCTAAGTTACTGTGTAAGTGGTAATTTGGCCTCATTTCCCTATTGCCTAATTTTTGCCATGTTCAGAAAATTAAATGTTGGAAATATTATCTTCATAATGTTATCCACTGGGAAGTTTCTTGTCATTAGGAAAATTAGAATTAGAAAAATGATAAGATTTGACCATTCGGCAAATTAACCACTCAGATTAAATACCACTTGTACAAAGAAACAGGATTTGTTACCTTCATTGTTTTTAGGTAACTCAAGCTGCGCTTCCTACAGTATCTACATCAGCAAATGATTGTAAGTATGATTTCAATAATATTGTACATTGTGTATTGTATTTACAATGTTACCTGTCTAATTCAAACGCCACTGGGGCCATCCAAAAGTGTTCGGATTAGCAGGTGTTCACATTTCAAGTTTTCTAAATGTGTAAATTAATGCGAGATAACAAAATTTAGAAAAAAAGTGTTCACATTGAGAGATGTTCAGATTAGAGTGGTATTCCAATAATAGACATGTTTTCAATAATACAATATTACACAAACATTTTACAATATCACACAAAGTACAGAAATATCTACAATAATACAATATTACACAAACAACATTTTACAATATCACACAAAGTACAGAAATATCTACAATAATACAATATTACACAAACAACATTTTACAATATCACACAAAGTACAGAAATATCTACAATAATACAATATTACACAAACAACATTTTACAATATCACACAAAGTACAGAAATATCTACAATAATACAATATTACACAAACATTTTACAATATCCCACAAAGTACAAAAACATAAACAAATTGACATTTCTCAGACTGAAGGATTTAAATTATATTGTGAAATATTCTATTGTATTTTGATTTATCACATTTTATCGTATTCACATTTTTACTAGCCTCTTATTTTGCAGATAGATCTTGTGAATTTACTATGTAAATGAATTATTCTATTTTGAAATTCGAAGTTAGGTTGGATTGGTGAATTGGTGAACCAACTGTACGACTTGATCTTATTAACTCATTCAATACTGGGGCAAAAAGCACTATAATTCTGACGATATTTTGAAAATTGCCATATATGGTACCTCTGAAATAATATATATTGTATATACATTGGCATACATATATAGTGTTATATATCATTTTGAAGCATATGATATACTCTTTCAGAATAAAAGTCCCATTTTATAAGTTGTCATGGTTACAAGATTCCAAAAAAAACATTGGGTTTGTGCTTGGACATGATATCACCTCCTTAGTAGTCAACGCATGTGCTTTATGACGTCATATCACGTCCTTCGTAGCGAATGAGTTAATTGTGCTAAAATTGACCCACCATTGGGTTCAAGAGTACCATCTCATTCAACATATTGCTTCACAAAAGCTTCCTTTTACAAAATTACATCAATAGGAGATATATTTTTGAAATATGATTGCTTTATTTAGTTTATGTGTAACTACCAGAAACAGGTGAATTCATACCAATAAGCTAAAAAAAATCTAGAACGAGGCCGATATGTGCGCCATCTATCGGCAGTATTCTGCATTGATTACACTTGTTTTCAGTTGATGTAAGGTGTGGTAATGAATCCACCCCAGGCCCCTTGATGGTCATATGGTCAGATAACCAAGTCAACAGCCCCAATGACGTTTACATCTATGGTAAGAGTGGAGTGTCCGACTGCACCTTCACTATGACTGCTGGTAACGCCTCCTCTGGAACCCCAGACACCTGGACCCTTACTGATGGTTATGCAGCTGGTGATCTGAGCATGTGTGGAATTGCAATGGTTAGTGACTGGATGAATATCTTTGCTTTTAAATACATACATTTCTCTTTGTATTTGTTCTTGTAAAACTTTGAGGAATTTATCTGGCAACCCTAATGAGAAGGTTTTGAAAGCAAAATTGCATGTAACACCTTTTACCATTTACGAGGACATACAATTTGAAAAAAAATGAATAAGCCATAGATTTGGGGAATTTTTAGAATATTGAAGAGATAATGGACAGAAAGATACTGATTGGGACATATCTATGTCTGCTTCAACCTTAAAATACACAAAGAAGTTTTAAGTTTGGATTTTGTTCAAGGTTTCCTCGAAAGGGACTTCAACTAATGTAATGTTTCATGTTATAGAATACCAGCAGTGGTACATATGAGGCCACAATTGTTATCCAGTTGGGGTCCTTGGAGACAAGCGATGATGCATTCTACCAGATCCAGTGTGTCTACTCAACCTCAACCACCATCGGTGGTGGCTCTACCTCCGTCAGCGTCTCTGAGTGAGTATATTCTTAGGGATACTGGATTTGCATTGTATCTAATGTTAAAGATTTGAAAATGTCTTTACCAATTGAAAATCTGTACTCTGCCACATTTTTGTCTTATCAACTTATATATATAAATATTAGAAACTTAGCAGCAATTACCTGTTCCCATGCCCTGTGTCTCTGTCCCCGAGTGTTAATATTTTTACATTTTTGAAATGATTTCCAACAGACTTGGGCCAGTGTCATTCTCAGGTATTTCTCCACTCCATTTTTATTTTGTCTTACCTGTTGGTGTCACTGACCCATTTCTGTTCAGTTATAACCAACATATATGCTCTTGAGAGCGTCATGTTGTATTGAATGTCATGTATGTTTTTCAAAATAGTAATAAATATCTGAATCTGAATCTGAATCTGAATACTAAATTATATTATTTAACTAGCATTGTAGCATTAGTTTATTTAAAATGATACATCATGGAAATTGATCATTAAAACAACTTTTGAAATGAGGGGTCAATTTGACTCACTTAATTGTCAAAAAAAATAACCTGATCAAAATCTTATTTACATATTTAGTTCTTATGGACGTAATGCTATCTGCTTGATAAACATCGTCATGTTATCATTTTCATTTCCATCATGTTTCCATATTTATCACATTTCAATTCCAATCACATTTCAATTCCAATCACATTCCTATTCCAATCACATTTCAATTCCGATCACATTTCCATTTTCATCACATTCCTATTACACTCACATATCAATTCCAATCACATATCAATTCCAATCACATTTCAATTCCTATCACATTTCAATTCCTATAACATTTCCATTTTCATCACATTTCAATTCCAATCAGATTTCAATTCCTATCACATTTCAATTCCTATAACATTTCCATTTTCATCACATTTCCATTTTCATCACATTTCAATTCCAATCACATTTCAATTCCTATCACGTTTCTATTTCCATCACATTCCTATTACACTCACATTCTGACATTCCCATTTTCATCACATTCCCATTCCAATCACATTTCAATTCCTATCATGTTTCCATTTCCATCAAATTTCAATTCTTTTTTCTGGCTCCATCTTATCCACATTTTTACAAAGTTGGTATTTCCTGTTAATCAGACAGCTGGTATAGGAACTTATTCAAATGTAAACCTTTCTTTGCCAATGCACTTAAAATGAAAATTGCCTGATTGTGTTCTATTATAGTGTCATTAAGGACAACACAGTTGCTAACACAGGAGCTTCCAGTAACACACCAGACAGGTCATACACCCTCGTTCTGATTGATTACGCTACTGGAAGTGTCGCCACTACTCCCGTCCCCATCGGCATGCCCGTGCAGCTCTCAGCCGTCGCCAGTGGCACTGATACTGGATCCAATGTTGGTAAGAAACAAGACTCTGATTTTGAAATGAGAGACCAGGTCAAATTTTAAGTGTTATCTGATACTATAGCATCTTTCTGTTTCACCTGAATCATCTCAGGGCTGAGAAGAAATGAGATGTCATGGTTTATCATGATGTTCAATTCATGTTTAGTACTTTATCACTTTTCTGGTTCCACATGTAATATATGCATCTATGTATTTGTGATACTCTCTTTAATTCTACCAATTTTGTCATCTGTTTTTATCAAAATTTTTTGGCTTTGTCAATCAATCAATTCTATAAGTTTCGTTTTTATGATATATAAATACATGTAAGGTATTGCTTTTAGGTTGTTCATAATTTTTTTTATAATTTATAAATCAATTTACAAAATACAATGACTATAAATGAAGTATTTGTATATTATCATTATTTAATTTTCATATATTTTTACAGCCAATGATGAAGTCAGTCTCCAGGTCAGGAGTTGCTGGGCAAGCAGTGGTTCTGCCTCCCCTGTGACTTTCCTTAATGATTAGTAAGTGCTACAAATTGATTCGTTTATTTTCTTAGAGGAAAATACTTCATGTATCAAGAATTTTTTTTATATTTACCATTGATTCATATACATGTACCATATTGGTTATTTCTAAGTTCATATACATGAACTATTATTGTTGATGTACTGATTCTAAGTTTATGTATTACTTTAGATCAAGTACCAATCTTAGTAATTTCTAGGCTCATATTCTGTATTGGTAAGTTCTAAGTTCATCTACCACACAAGTGGTCTAAAACTTATGGATGTTTTGATTTTGCTAAGATACACTGTATATAACCATGGGCTTTCAAGTTGAAAGCCCATGATATAACAAAGATAGAAAAGGCACAATTTTCATTTATATTGTTATACTAAAGAGCCAGAGGCTCAAATGAGCTTCCTGTATCTTAAGTGTTGTCAAAGAGTTAGTCACGTATTAATTCAACAAATTATTTTTCAGTTGTCCATCTTTCGGAAATGAACTGTTTGAAGATACAACTGAAGGATTTACGACATCTTCTGATACTGCTCTCTCACCCGACTTCAGAATGTTCGGTATTGGTGGTGGTGATGGAACCGTGACATTCACATGCGATATCGCCATCTGTAGGACAGTATGTGGAGGGGTAAGTGTTTTTCTCTGTTTTAGACAAGTTGTGTTAAAATGGATTTGATTGAATAACATATCTTAATTGAACCTGGTCATGCATACCCGTAGCCAGAGAGTGTCAATTTTTTTTCACCATTCTGAGCACTTTTCAAGTGATTTCGGACCAAATAAGTTGTCATAGTGAACCCCCTGGAATTTCTGAAAAGTGAACCCACCTTGGCAAGACCTGGCTTTTAAATGTTAAATGGGTTTCATTATAAAGAAAATCATTGTTTAATAAGAGTGACATCAAATGGCTATTTTCCTCAGGTAACCTTCTGCCTACATCATTGTCAGTGATCAAGTATTTCAGGAAATGGCATTGGACCTTTTAATACAAGAATTCAATAAAAATGTCAGCATCAAGATTTCTAATTTGTAGCAATAAGTGAGCAAAAAGTAATATCAAATTGTAAATAGTAATTAAATCATGCAATCTTAAAATTCAAATCTTTACTTTATATTATGTTACCACCAGAAGTTGTGACATATTGTTATAGTCTCCAGCTTTTTTGTGGACATTGTTTGGCAGTTAGTGTTCTGCATTCAGCGGTTGGTGTTTAGCTTTTGGTGGTCGGCATGTGTAACAAATGGCTGGTGGTGACTTTTTGCATGTTGACGACTTGTCTAAATATTGACTTTTGTTTACTTTTATAACTCATGCGTTATAAAAAAAGTCTGTTTTATTTTAGGACAACTGTGTAGCCAAAAAGAGGAAGAGAGATGTCCGTAGCCGTCGTAACGTTAGCAACGAAACATTGACAATGGAGGCGCGTGTAGTCACTGCTGTCACCATCGGACCCCCAGGCTGGACAAACATAGGTTCTGGCAACACTGGAGGTAAGAATATAGCAATTTTAGTTATTTCTTACAAGGGAGGTGTGTGATCGCCCAAAAATTTCGGTTTTCAGTCAGGGGGTGCGATTGTGGCATAAACAAGCCAAAAAATTAAGATTTATCTTGAATTTTACAAAAAATGATGCAACTTCCTTCAATATTGAGCTAGAAGCTTCAAATTAAAAGCATTTTTATTGGTTTTGGGGGGGGGGGGGGTGCGATCGCATCCATCGAACACCCCCCCCCCACAACTGGCTACGCCTATGGATGCTGTGTGCTTTCTCATGATCTAAACATATTTATTTACAAACAAAAAATATAACAATTATAAAGGAAACATATCTGTTGTGATTATAGCTAACAATGGATCTGATGACGCAAAGAATGACTCACAAATGAACACCATACTTATTGCCATTGCTGCAGTTCTTGGTGCCCTCTTATTGGCTCTGCTGGTCGGAGTTGCAGTCATGTGTAAGAAGATGAATGACAGCCCCGCTCAGAGTCCACCCGCTTATATCATGCACACTACAAAGAGTCATTCCAATCCAGGATTCGAAAAAGCATAAATAGAACTTTTTAAATGATGCTCAACTTACTAGTAGTTGCTGTGAATGTTTGAACAATGATTTTTGTCCTAACAAAAAAACGGACAATACAATATCACTGACATGAACAATTTACACTGTTAAGTAGAGTATCATAAAACTTGTGCAGGTTAGGCTAGAGATTGGCCAAAAGCTATGAAATTATGGACTGAAACAGACTGTACATAAACTGTCCTCTATGTAGTTTTCACGTATATTTAATTTCTTAGGTAATCATTACAAATTATTAATCCATTTTGATTTACTACTGATTTACCTTTTCACTTATTTTTGATAAATGATTGATTAATTAACACATAATTGACGCTTAAATATTGGTGTTGTAAGATTTATTAGGAAGTGAGGCATAATATACAATTAAACATGCTTGTTCAAATGCTTCTTTTTGTAGAAAATAAACGCTATGCAATTCAAAATACAAACATTCATTATTTTGTTTATTACTGAAAATGTTTTAACAGTTAATCAAGTTTGTTGACTTAAAGGGATATTCCTAGCCTTGTCTTAGTCGGTGTCTTTTATAGCTGAATATCAAAATACCGACTTAGGCAAGGCTGGGATAGTTCTTGCAAACCCATTTTTCTCTTGATATATAGCCATTCAATTCTTTTTTGATCCACATTCGGCAAAACATGGGAAAATATTTTGATATGGTCGCCACTGAACGACTGATTATTTAAAAATAAAGTGCTCATTTCCAGTATAAAGCTGCCATCTTTAAGTATTTTTCAAAATGGCCACAATTTCTATGTGTGTTATTTTACGTTTTTTACTAAATAACTTAAAAAGTGGTGGAGCCATTCTGATACTCATAGCATCTTTCTGTTTCACCTGAAACATCTCAGGGCTGAGAAGAAATGAAATGTCATGGTTTATCATGATATAATGGAGGGATTTTGTTGAAACTTTGTATGTGACGACTTTGATGCATATTACACTTTTGACAACTTGTCTTATGGGCGGCCATTTTGAAATATGGTGGCCATTTTTATGTGTGCCATAACTTGAAAAGTAATAGACTGATTTTGTTGAAATTCAACATGGCTAGTAACGGTGTGAGTAAGCGGCGATTTTTATGGTGGCCATGGCTGTTCATGGGATTTGTTAGGCCTTGGTGTTGCTGTTATCTAGTGCTATATTATTTTTATTTCCATGAAATAAAAACAAATATGTATTCAATGTTGTTGATCACATCATGTCTATCCACGCCGACAAATCCAATTTTGGAAGTTCACGACGGTGTACTCTTTCATTCTTAGACTAACCATACAAGAATTTTATTTCTCCTTCGAACTCGTATGATCTGTAAAATCATGGGCTTTCAATAGGTTCATAATTTGTAGACTACTGTTTTCTGATTTTCATGTATGTGCTTCATTGCTTCTGTAATATTCTATGTCAAATACATTATTTTTATTTTTAAACATGATGAAATAACCTTTTTCATTACATTTTCACTGTTTTAGTATTCAAAGGGTTAAAATAGTGCAAAAGCATACAATCCATAGTCAACAGGGTGTGTACCATATTAAGCATGACAATTGAAGGTGCAGGGTATGGTACAACACAAGGGTGATGGAATTTGAGCAAACTGACGTTTTCATAGTTTCAGAAAGATCTAGAAACTAGACCAGACTTACTGAAACTGTTAAAACATCAATTTGCTCAAATTTTAACAGCTGCGTGTTGAGTTGTACCCTGTGCGTTGAACCGTCATACCTGAGACTAATATGTTTTATGTTAGTCTCAGGTCATACTTAATTTGCTTCACACCCAATATAGTCTAGAAATTATACAATATCTATGTGCACCATCGTAAATAGTGGTGTCAATTAACCGCTTGAGCATTAACCGGTTAACCGGGGGTTTTTACCGGTTAAAGTCGGTTAACCGGCGGGAAATTTGAACTGATAATTTCAAATGAAATCTTCATCTTCGATCTTGAAAGTTGAAAAAAATTGGAAAAATGATATATCGGCGTTTATTTTTTACGTTCGTCAAGCTTTACTCTATTCTATGTAAGTAAGCGCCGGAAAGCAATGTGGCAGGGATTAAAGTTGCTGATTGGATGTTTGTATGGAATTATCGGACCTATCACATGTATGAGTAGCTCACATGAAACTGACGCTTAAAAACAAACAGATTAAAATGCAAAGTAAGCGCGGGAAAGCAATGTGGCAGGGATTAAAGTTGCTGATTGGATGTTTGTAAGGAGTTATGGGACTTATGACATGTATGAGTAGCTTACGTGAAACTGACACCATAAAACCAAACGGATTAGCATGCAAAATAAGCGCGGGAAATAACAGAATTATACACGGTCAACTAACCGCCCATAAAAACACAGACCGGTCAAGGCATTATCGGCGGTTAACCGGTTAACCGGTTAATACTTGACACCTCTAATCGTAAATGAAGATAAATGGACATTGCATGTTTACAACTGAATTTTAATTTATTGTCTAATTAGTGCCTTTTGACACCTCATCCACCATGTTAAATCTCATAAATCTTTTGTTATATATAAGGGACTATTTTGATATAGGTCTCTTACCTGCTCGTTGAAATATAAGTACTTTCACTTTCTAAGGGCTTTTATCATCATATGATTCTAGTCTATTTGTGTAAATATGATGGTCAAAACCAATAAAGGTTTAATAACACAAATGAAAAACTAATAGCACACGAGTGTCAATCATCAACTCCTCCCACATGCAGGTAGTAGTTTCTGTTATTTAAAAAATGTAATTCGGTATTCCTGAGCCATTCGATTGAAATATATCCGATAATCCGATGGATTCGAGTGAACCCCCCCCCCACCCCTAGCCAAAAAGTCTTTCAAAATCATGCCGTTTTTTCACCATTCTGAGCACTTTTAAGTGAATTTGGCCATTTTTGGACCAAAATTGTCACAAGTGAACCTCCCTGGAATTTTTCAAAAAGTCAACTCCCCCAAATCCTGGCCACAGGGCTGTACACGTCAAATAAATACCATCGTTCTTGGAAAATGATTTGTCATTCGGGATATCTGAACCATGCGATTGAAATACAAGTCAAATAAATCTAGTATCGTTGTTCTGGAAAAAGTTAATTGTTATTGAAATATCTTATTTTATTTATTTATTTTATTTATTTATTTATTTAATTATTTCTCATATCACCTTTTATGATGAATATAGCAGATACAAAGAAATTGTAAATCTTAACTAACAAACATCAAACAATATTAAATCAAATCAAAATCAAAATGTTTTAAAATGTTTTGGGTTGAGTTTCCACTGTTTTCGCATTAGGCTAGAATGAAGCGGGTGGTGATTTTTATTGTTAAGTGATATCTAACGAAATTAGTTGCTGTTGAGTATAATTATTTATTCTGAATAATACACAGTCAAGTAAATGATACGGGCGCGCCCGAAGTCGAAAAAATCAATACCCGGTGATTCCATGTAGTTTCATTACGTTTAGTGGATGTGCTGCGCGCGCGTAGGTAAAGAGGTCACGCTATCATAGAAATGTACCGCACGAAAAATTCCCGGGTATTGTACCGCCCTTGGGCGCACCCGGTATCTAGAATGAATTAGGAGCTCTGAGAACTCGACGCAGCCCAACTAATTTTGATATCTCACTTCTATGTAGTTCAGTGTAGAAATAATGACTGCCTTGGAGAATTTCACACATACGCAACAATTGTATCAATGGCTTATCCATGGCCAGTTATCATTCTATTCCTTGACCATACCATGACAAACACTTCCAAATTACTCGACAAGCGAAATGCTAAATATAAAGATGAACAGGGGCAAAAAAATTAGATGAAAAATATGAATGCAAAGTAGATCTTGAATAAATGTAGAGTCAAAAATAGCGTGCGATTTTCCATGCTTTCAAAATTCCCTAGTGTCAGATTGTGTATTTAAAAAATCCAATTTAATGATGGTGCAAATATCTGTGTCTGTTTATTAGCTTTGATTGCTATAAGGAGATATGTAACCTTGGCAATTGTATCATCAGGGGCCTCTTCACCGTGATCCTCTCTTAGATTATCTTCTTTGTGATTATCATCTTATTCTGGATCAATCGTTTTCCTATTTTCCTATCGTTTTACCATTTTAGAGCGTTCAGCGTTGTTCTTATCCCCACTTGCCACGTCATCATTATCATGTGTGCTTTAGGTCTCTGTAATATAAGGAGACAAGTTATTTTCACGTTTACCTGAGTTTTGAAAGGGCTAAAACTGTTATAGAGGCCAAACTGTCAAACTTGTCAATATGTAGAGACACAGAGTATTGTCAAGGTATTTTAATATTAGTTTAAGATTGGAGATAATTTAGATGTGCACACAAAATTAGTTTTTTTAGTTTATATAGTCAAGATAAGTTAGATTACATCGAAGAAGCACCTTACTAGGAAAACAGATTATTTAAATTAGTTTCAACATCCAATTGCTCCAATATTTTGGAGCAAATTGGGCTCACCTTTAACCAGCTCTTTACTATTTTCGATTTCCATCTTGTGCTCCTTTGGGTCGTTTGCATCTTCGATAGGTTGGCCGTCACGATGGTGATTTACGCCCTTTTCTTCTTTATCATCGGGAATGGATTCATTTGGCTGTTTTTCTATGGTATCTGTTTTTGCCCACTTAAGAACATGACCCTTTCCAAATATGAGAAACACTATGGTACCACAGACTACAATTACTCCATTTATCAAAATCACTTGCCTCCATTGGATAGTCGTATCATCACGTGATGTGTATCTCAAAGTAATTGGAGCTGCAATACCAACAACATTTTCCAATGTCTCAGATACACCAGCAATGATACTCGCGAACTGTGGGGCAATGTCCAGAGCATTGACTGAAACAGAGACCAAAGCCATCGGAGCCACGATACCAGATAAAAAGAGTAAAACAAATACTAGATTCAGTTGACGACAGTCTAGATATGAAATTATGATTGAAAAAGCAACCGCGAATGTCCCTATTGCAACAAAAGATTTTCGGATTGCCACAGTGCTGATAATTTTCCTTTTCCTTAAGAAGTCTGATATGAAAGACCCAGCTAGTGCTGATATAATAGCAGACCCAGCAACCCCACAAGAGAATAATCCTATCTGTAGTGGTGTCAACCGAAATATCACCGTAAGAAATGTGGCACTCAATGTACTTGATGTAACAGTTGACCATGCCAACGTCGTTTCAACAAATAGGAGTGCCAAAACTGCCTTCGACGTGAAAATCCCTCTCCAAGGAATCGCCCCCAACTGGACATCTTTTCCAATACTGTTTTCTATAAATAATCGTTCACTCGAGTGTATTCTTGGATGTTGGCTTGGTGAATCGTATACCACATAGACCCATACGAATACCCAAACTATACTGAAACCACCAAATATATAAAAAATGGCAGACCATCCCACAATTTGGCATAGGATTCCAGTTACTAGTACCGACAGTATGGCACCTATTATCAATCCTTGAAACGAGATCGTAACCAGTTTTGTTTTTTCAAATTCCGGTGCCCATTTTGCCCAAAGAGCCAAATAAACAGGTCGGATCACATCAGTGAAAGCCCCTGTCGCAAATCTTATCGCAACCATCGCCCAAGCACCACCTAATCTTGCGATGAACGGAGTCACAATTGTCAAAGTTCCAGCGATGAACACCGAGATTCCAATGACTCTCTTAGGTCCCCAAATTCTTGCCAGAATTCCCCCGATTGATCTACCGAGAATGCCACCAGCATAAAAACTACTAAGAATGAATCCCTGGGCTACTGCATCCCAAGCAAATTCCGCTTCAGGCACCACAGGCACCTCTCCCTACAATACAAGTGCCACATATTAGTATAATATATAGAAGTTATTTAATAGGAGGGATGGAATATGAATTTTATTCCGAGGGGAAGTATCATATTGACCGAGGGTGACAGCCCGATTTATGATATTTTCCGAGGCTAATATCATATTTTCTTGAGGAAAAAATTCATATTACATCACGACCATCAATAACCTATTTATTCCATAATAATTTTTCTGATTTTTCAAGTTCAATTTGTCATCACCCAATGATGGTGACAAAATGATACAATTTGATTTATCATATGACATTTTTCAACTTTTATAAATAAGTTTTAAAATAGAATGAAACGTGTAAATATCAAGAAAAGAAATCCCAGGGAATATTTTTGATTTGACCGTACGGGATTTTGGCTGATCTACGAGATCCAATATGGGATCTGATCCGTTTATATTGTGTGATCTTAGGCCATTACATTTTACTTAGAAGATAATCCCTATGAAATATTCTGTATTCTCTGTATTGCTACTGAGATTGTTCCCTCCGTACCAATATTTTTTGTGTTGCTACGGAGATGATCAATGGGGACAATATCAGTAGCAATACAGATTGGTACAGCACAAGAACTGACCAATCAGAGGGCTTCATCTTACAGTTCATGCGACAAACAGGTATATCGGGTGTCCCAAAATTGAATCGAGTTTTGACAAGTGTTTTCTCAGCAATTGATCACTCATGCAAATTTATTGAATTGCTCTATAGAGTAGCCCTAGCAAGTTGTACGAATAAGGGATCGGTACCATATTATGTGAAAATTGAAAATTTCAAAAATGTATGTCAATAAACAATATTAGAGCTGCGCAATGATACGTCATAGCATTTGTACTTGCTACCAGGTGATTGAACCTGTAACTCAGTTTTAGTGTCAAAACAGCTTGTCTATGTGTCAGGTTTATTGATTTGTTTCATTGTTCTCTGTTTCAAAGATATCAATCATAAAGGAATTAAGAGCAAGAACTGAAGTCATGGTATTTTCAATAAACTTATGAACAAATTGCATACATTCAAGTTATCAATTGCTGAGAAAAACACTTGACAAAAGCGATCTTTTTTGGGACACCAGATATGTATTCATACATACTACATTTCACATCTTTAGAGGCCTAAGAGCATTATTCCCACTTTAGACGAAACATAATTAATTATCAGTATAATAGCAAGTTGGGAGGAAAATGGGGTTTTAAAACACATACAATACGAATCACCTCAATTATAATAAGTATCTGACTTGATTTGGTTTGCTTAATTAAATATTGGGCCTCAAACAATTTTATGAAAAATTTCTTACTTGTAATGTAGCGTTAGTTGCTGTCTGATTAGGCATTTGTAATTGGTTCTCTTGACATATGTAGACATCAGAGATGTTGTTGGTCATTGTTATGTTTGGAGGCTTCACCATACATATTATGGTCAATCCCATGTGGGCCTGTAAGGCCTGGGCACAGGCAAACCCAAACATTAACACCAGAGCAAGTTTCAGTCTTTGTGAACAACACCCCGGTGATGTTGCATCTTGGTTTATCGACCCTGGTGATAACACCCCGGTAGATTTCTCTCCTTTTGGTGGTGTTGACGCCGTCATATTTTCAGTGATGCAAAAGTTCCAATTCTGAATACAAACAACACTCACAAATATTGGACAAAGTCAAACCAAGCAGGCACATTTCTAAAAAATTATTTTTAATACATTTTAGCTGTTAAGTTGCACACGAAAATTTAAAAAACTAATTTAATATTATTAAAGTAAAATAACTGTTAAGAAAAAGTTTAAAACGTTATAAACTGAACGTCACGATACCTGTTAGTGTTTGTTTTGAAACTCCCTGACTTCCTCCTCTAAGTTTGCAACTGCATTATTAGATTATAAAAAACACAATAAGTGCGTACCTTCATGTTTTTGTCAATCATAACAAATATTATTTGAATATTGAATACAAAAATACGGGTAATATTTCGCTCATGTAAATTTGATAATCCCTGATAGATTTTCCATTGATAATGATATATATTGAATTGATTAGAAATATTAATTTAATACCCTAGATTTGCACAATGAGACCTCCATCTCAGTGTCGAGAGGTAATAAACGTTTAATATTGCATCCATCTGCGCTTTGAAAAAATAAGTTGTAGCTACGTTAATTCATTTAGTCTAGAATAGGTATGTTGAAAATAAAATGACATCTTACATTTTGACGAGTACCTTAACCATGGTTATCAAATGAAAGGTAAAGGGTTTCTTTATTGATACTGAGATTTGCCGAGATGAAATAGGTGTCGAAGTGACTTTTTGGGTAAAAAATGTGTTTTTTGCAAAAAAAAATTTTAAATTGATAAAAAATATTTTTGAAAATTTATTATATAAAGTACAGTCTGGTTGACTCTCAAAAGTCAAAATATACCATGTTTAATCAACTTGGGGGAATTTTGGGACCTTAATAGTTTTTTCTTTGGGATTTGCATGCAATATCGACTAAAACGAGTGTGTTCAGAATATGATGACACCGTTAACATATTTTGACGAGCAGTTTAACCATGGTTAATAATTGAAAGGTAAAGGGTTCCTTTATTGATACTGAGATTTGCCAAGATGAAATGGGTGTCAAAGTGAGTTTTGGGTAAAAATGTATTTTTTCCCCAAAAAATTTGAATTAATAAAAAAAATATTTTTGAAAATGTATTATATAAAATACAGTCTAGTTGACTCTCAAAAGTCAAAATATACCATGTTTAATCAACTTGGGGGGATTTTAGGAGCTTAATTGTTTTTTTCTTTGCTTGGTACATCAAAATATACCTTTCTCAATTGCACTGTTGTGTGTCTGTCTACCTACAGGCTCTGTGTGAGAAGATGTTTACTCAAGTAGAGGGGGAAGGGGTCACAGAGGTTTGTTGCTAGACTACCTTATTTAACACATAATACAACGTGACTTGATTATGGGTTACTTACAGTATAGTAAAATAACCATTTGGTATATCAAATAAGCATGTACTTTTATGTGATAACAGACTTATAAATACAGTAGCTCCCTTATGAGAGATTCTGGGGAGTAAACAATGCTGCGATGCTGTAGTGTGATTCTGATTATTGGTTTACTAGTCAGTAAAATCAATCAAAGCAGATTGAGTACTGTAATCTAGGGATTTTTCAAAACACTGGCACATGTCCAGCATGAAACAATTGACACATTGACCATGGCTGTTTTGGCATTTACGTGGTGATCAACACTGGTTGTATTGATTGAACTAGTTAAGAAATGAGGAATGCTATACTAATTAATCGTCTAATTAGTGCCTTTCGACACCTCGTTCGCCTTGGCAAATCTCACAAATCGTTTGTAAGATATAAAGGATTATTTTGATACAGGTCTCTAGGGTGCTCGCCAAAATGTGAGAACTCTCTCTTTCTAGAGGCTTTTATTTAAAATTATTCTAGACTAATTGAAAAATGTACACAAAATCCAAGCCATGTTGAGCAAATTAGCATGATCTCTAGTTTTAAGAAATCTTATCAATATTCATTTTGCATCATCACTAAGCCATTTTGAGCAAATTGGCATGATCAGTTTTAAAAAATCTTATCAATATTCATTTTGCTTCATCACTAAGCCATGTTGAGCGAATTAGCTTGATATCTAGTATTGAAAAATCTTATCAATATTTATCTTGAATAAGCGAGAAATTCACAGTTTTAGTTTGCTTTTGATACAGACACCACTCTATGTGAAATATGAAAGCGAAGTTGTAAAGTCAGTAATCCTTAAATTATCAAGAAAAATCAGTAATACCGTTTAAAGGATATATTGATATATTAACAATGTCAAAAAAAGTTAACCCAGCTTTGAGAGACGTAGGATGAGCTTGTATGATTTAATTTTAATTAATTAGTATTGATATAACAAATCATATTGGCATTAAGTGAATGTGAATATAAAGAAAATGCCATTGACTTTGTTTGGATTAGCAATATACATGTATTAACGAAAAAGTAAGACACAATAAATCACATTAAATTTATGTAAGTGTAAGAAAAATTCTGTCGAAGATGTTTGAATTAGTAATATGTGAAAACGATGTCAAAAGTAAGAAAATCAACCCACGTACCTATCTATGGTGTAATGTTTTATAAGTTATACCAATTTCTTCATAACTATTTTAATATAAATCCCTTCAATCGTCCAATGGCGATTTAGAAGGATACAAAGAAATAACACAAATATAATATCATGAATAGGTCAAGGGGTTCACTCTGCACTCGGTCAAGTATATAGAAGGGGAAAAACTTACAAGTTTGTTTCAATAAATTGAACCAAATTCACTAAAAATTTGTACAAAGTAGCCCAAGAGTATCTTTGTCAAGGTACAAAAAAAATGAAAAAGATCAAGAAAATGTGTGAGTACTAAGAAATTCAAGATAGCATGTCATTATATCCCAAACCGGAGAAAAGCAATGAGAACTCCATAGCGTTTATAACAAAAAAATGAGAAGCAATTTGATAAGTAATTTCTCAAATTCTTTTAAAACTTTACCTGGGGCACTTTAGGGTATCTTCTGCTAGTGACATGGATATGTAAGAGAGTCACATATTATGTGTGTATTCAAAAATTAAAGACACTTTGCCAAAATAACCAATATCAATGTATAACTCACTTATAGTGCTGATACAAAATAATAAAGGGTGAGTTTTCAAACTAAACAGAGTTCTCCTACCAAAATGGATTTGCCTACATACCCCTGAGACTCTTATCTGATAGATTGCACAAATAAAACAAAAGTTTTGCTATTATAGGTAAAACGTTATCTTAAATTTCGAAGTGATTTTACCTGTTAATTCTTTCATTGGTCCGCCATTTTTGCGGAAGTAACACTGTAACATAAACTCCATGAAACGAAACGAAATCACTAGAAAAAACAAAGTTTAAACCAATCAGATTATTTGATTATTTTGCTCACATGAATTATTTGCTTCTGAGCACTTACCATTAAAAGCTAACCACAATAAACAAACCTGGCGGAGATTACTCTTACTTCATTTTAGCGAAATTTCAGCTCAAACTCGTGATAAATGCATTATGCATACGCTGGTATGAAGCCTATGAGACACTCACCTTGGTAAATATGATCATGATTTACGGTGTATACTTTTCTGCAGTTTGTTGGAGTTTGGGATATTAAATGTTTAAATTCAAGAAAATGTGCTAACTATACGACTTATCAATTGTATCAGCACTGTATTAATCCATTTCCAAGCAAAAATTCCTTTCCGTATTTATTGTAACAATATCCTCCGATAAATCTTGAGAATGAATTGGATTTTGGATATTTGGATCGGCTCCCATCGAACGCAGTATAAGTACAGGGTGTCCAAAAAAAAACAGGACCGTAAGAAAGTTGAATAACTCGGTCAATTTTGCATATTTTGCCTTGAAATTTCAGAATTACTTAGTTCATTCAATGTGAATTTTGTTGTGAAAGTTTGATAATAATCTACCAATTGAGTCAAAAACTACAGCTCCTTACAAAACATGCCTCAAATGTGCAAATCTCATCTCTATGCACAATTCAATCCAGCGAACAAAGCTGTTGATGATCCTCCTACACACATGTCTTTCTGAATGGACAAGTTTGTTCCAAGAACAATTGCTACTGGGGCTTACATCCTCCTGATGAAGTGTTACAGCATCTATTGCATTCTGAACAATGCACTCCCTGGGTGGCAATGAGGAAACATGGAATCATCAGTCCCTTATGGTTCGAAGGTGACTGGGGACTTGCTATCACCATGAACAAGGACCAGTAAGTTCTCACCAAGTTTTGGAGGTCACTAAGCACCAGAAGGGACATCTAAGGAGATAATTAAGCAGTGGTTTCAACAAGCCAATACCAACCCAACACTGCAAATGATATGCTGAAATGGTTTAGGCAATGCTTTGGTGGTCAGCTCATCAGTTGCAGAACGCAAACCATATGGGCAGCTCATTCGCCTGAACTAAATCCCCCAAATTTTTATCTTTGAGGATTTCTCAAAGCCAATGTGTATACTGACAGGCCCCTAACAATCTTAAGAGGGCAATTACTACCCCAATATTTACCATCCACATTAATGTGTATAGGTAAGGGTCATTAACAACTTTGTTCGCAGGATTCGTTTGCACATAGAGAGGAGAAGTGCCCATTTTGAGCATGTTTTGTAAAGGACTGTTGTTTTAGACACAATAAACAGATTATCATCAAACTTTCAGAACAAAATTCACATTGAATGAACTAAATAATTCTTAAATTTCAAGGCAATATATGCAAAATTGACCGAGTTATTCAACTTTCTTACGGTCCTGTTTTTTTTTGGACACCCTGTATAAGACCGAGCGTGCGAAGATGATACTCTAGCTGGTACAAACACAATAGAGGTCTCATATCGGAGCTCCGGTGTGGGAATTTTTGAGATGCTATTTAAAATTTCTTAGTACTCACAGAATATTTACTCTATCTTTTTTATATTTTTACAACTTGCTTACTCTTAGGCTACTTTGTACAAGTTTTCAGTGAATTTGGTTCATCAATTGACGAGAAAATACTTGTCAAAAATGGCTCATTTTTCTGGATACCCGATATAGCATTTTGAGTCTACATTATCTGGAAGATCATAAATGTGTAGAATGAATAGGAGATGACCAAGAATTGATCCCTGTGGCACGCCTGCTTCAGTTGTTACTAATGACTCGCTAGCAATACTTACAAAAATCTTCTATTGGTAAATTCAATAAAATTTAATTAAGAAGTTGCACTTGAATACAAATTATTATTGGTATAATAAATTATATTTGGATCGAAGTAAGTGAAAGAGTAAATATCAAGATAAATGCTCCCGACGTTGTTTTATAAAAATAATGATGTCAAAAGTAAAATAGGTTGACCCAGCTTTCTGAAGACAAAGAAGGATATTTCAATTCAGGTTGGCCAACAGATTTCCCTTTTTAGACATATGCTTTCCCATTTTTCAAAATATACAGTCGCATGATGGGGTTTTATGTTTCCATTGCAACAAAGTCCCCATCTAAAAGAGCAGATATTCATTTTATTCGTAAAATATTCTGTTGATTCCCGGATAAAAGTTGTAATATTAATTTTTCCATCAATCCCTATATACTCGGTCATTATACGCTTATTAACGTAAAGTATGTCATGGCACTTCAGGTCCAAATGCAAAAAGGACGTCCATATTAAAAAAAATCAGTGTTTCGAGGAGGCTAACAAAAGTGTCAGTTGCATAATAACTTCCAATTACTTTAACAATGAAACCATACAAGTGTATTTCAAATGCTATTATTTAGTTTTTCATCAATTCATTGACATGTACTTAATATTTATTGAGAAAAAGTTGAGATTATTCATGCAAAAACAGAAGAGATATTTAATCAAATAGGCTAAGCTTTTGTAAAGAAAAAAAGTGAAGGAAAAATGATTTGGATTTGAGTAAAGAATAATGTAAGTATTAAAAAAAGTAACATCATACTTATGTCCGATCATAAGTTCGAATGATAGTTGTATTTCAAATATTAATTGTATGACATGTATGAGACCAATGGTAATGCTACCAGGGGGATTCTGATCTGCTAGCCTTACTTTTTATACATGTTTTTCTGTTTTGAAAAATTCGATGTGATGTATATTTCTTTGTTTTTCAAAGAAATCTACAAATATTTCATCACGGTTTTATCTTTACATCGTAAGTTCGATCACCGCCATTGCTTTCGAATGAGTTACCTTGAAATATCAAGACGTCATGCTATTTTCATACTTATAGAACTCAATGTAACTGTCCTTGACCATTTATTAGCAGTAAAAATTAATTTGCTTCATGGGTGACAAAATGTTTCACTTTCCTGGTAAATGTCGAGTCTCGCATCATACGAATGTAATTTTAGGCGATCTGTCTTCATTGGGTGCTCATCCTAGGCTTAAATTTTCTCACCCTGTCGTCGTTCGCTCAGTACATTCTTCTTCAGAAATTTTAAGATTTTGTATTCCAATATAATTGTCATTTTTGATTGCAATTACCGCTCATACAGATTATGTAGGCTGACATTAATGTGACAAGAGAAACAAAAAATCGATTGGAAAAACAACCCAAAACATTCAAACTTATTAATCCTTTAAAGGCCCATGTATAGTTGGAAAATATGTTTTTATCATTCATTTACTATTTTTATGAAGAATGGAATACTTTTCTGTAGAGTTAATTGAATGGGGTTAATAACAATACCAGCATTATTGGAGGCAGACACGTAATGAAAAATATCTGAAGAGAGGGGGACTCCATATTGTGTTAAAAAAGGTTGTATAAATTGGGGTTAAAGTGAAATTGCAACTGAAAATATGTTCAAGTAAAATACATTCAGATTAGATGCCATGTTATAATGTTTTTAAAAACGTCTTATTTATGTGTGATGTGTGGATGGGATCCTGAACAAATATGCAATTGTCAAGAGTATTTTTTGTTTTGTGTTCCAATTAATTTCTTTTGTTTGAATAGCAGTTACGGTGAATTTGTGATGGGACTACATGCAATGCTTAATGAAGTTGCTCTATTTGTAAAAATTGTGTCAAAGTCCGCATTTATTCGATTCTAATCAGCTTCACAAAAACCTAATTTCGCAGTATTTAAAATCATTAGAAATAAATTTTTCTGATGATTTATCTTATTAATGTCACTCGCTAATTTAGTTCTTCAGCATCCGTTTAATTTCGTAAGAATTCTACCTATGTAACTAAAATAGTATATAAAGAAGACAGTATGAGGGCATTTTTACAGTTCTACTCGATCCGGCGAGGACCTTACAAGAATTGAACATGGAGAAGATGAGACTCAGCGTGCGTTGTCTTTGGTTGGTGGTGATGATGGTGGTGGAATTTCGATCGGCGGAGAGTTTTACTGAGGAACTTGACGAAAACTTCAGAGTTCTTGCGATGCCAGAGGACGCAGCCGGGGAGCGATATTCAATTAGATTATCGAAAGACTATGTTCAACCAAGCAAGATCAACACCGATGGCAGTTTCGCAGATATCACCTATACCGACAATACCTACAAAATGTCAAAGCCGTTCAGAACACACGGTGATAGATTGACTAAAATCATCCACTCGTATTTTCTAGACCACTCCGGGAACTATTTCTACCAAAATGCAACGACGCTGGAATGGGTCGTGAAATCATGGGAATTCCTTGCGTACAACGCACCCGACAACACAGATTGGAACTGGTGGGGTTATCAAATCGGCGTCCCGCGGTCCTTCTGGCCTGGTCTCTTCCTCTCGAGGGGTTTAATCAATGACACGGTATACGATGATTTGATTCAAAGATACTGGACGGACCGTACAGTGTGGGATTACGAACGACAAAAGGACGGGTTCATATCGGCGTCAAATCTGGCAAATAGAGGTTTCTTAGGGTTGTTCGAGACGTATTACAAAAATCAAGCTATTTTTGAAACCAGAAGAGACCAGGTCCTAGAGTACCTGACTATGGAAATAGTGAATAAAACGACTTACCAAGGTAAGAGATTTTAACATGTCTCTCATTGTTATAATAAACAATCGATTTCAATGTTTAAAAAAGGAATTGCACCAAGATTTTTCTCTCAGTTTCATTTATTACTTTTTACTTATTATCTATTACAAAGAAGGTAATCTCAAAGGCAGTTAGGATGCCATTCTCAACTTGTAATAATTCAACATTCTCTACTGCACTGACAAAAAATGGTTCATCTAGATAACAGCATTGCCGAGGCGTAGCAAATCCCATCGAACGATCATGGCTGCAATATTCTTAGTATTCACATAGGCCTACTAAATTTTCCATGTAGGCTTAGTCATAGTAAATCCTTCCTTGATGACACTGAAATCGAGAGAAAAAATGAGCAAAAAACTCGGATAAACCATCAAGCAACATTTGACCAATCAAAAACTTCTTGAAAAGATCAACAATAAAGTCAGAAATAAATAAAGATGATAAGTTCCTAGAATAAAAGTCCCTCGTATGGCTTGAAAAGTGTGTTAAATTTTGCAGATATTGTTTTTTATGACATTAAAGAGCACAAATATATTCTCATACAACCCCCCACCAAGGTTTCCGAACACACTTTTAATCAATAAGACAATAATACGTTGTTTTTGTTATGCAGGGGAGGGTGTAGGAGCCGACTACTGTATTCACGTCCACAATCTCCACGAAGGGTTTTACGAGGGAAATTACACCAACTCACATTTACGCCGGATGATCTACAATGGTGGATATGGGGCTGAGTTTCTCAAAAGATTTGGCGCCATCTATATAGCACTTCACAATTCTTCTTATGCGGTAAATCCGTTCATCAATTTTGTTTTCGAAGATCATATACAATGTTTTTTAGGTATTTTCTTATCCCATATACGATATACTCATTCACCCCCCCCCCAATATGGTATCAGATTCCAAGGAGCTCAACGTTAAATCGTTCATATGAATATGAACATTTTGGTGAAAAAAGAGAAGACTGGGGAAAAAGATCTAACTTGGTTCGACCTTTTTGAAAAGTCAGTATATAATTATTATCTGATGGGAACTTTCAAGTGAATGTTTTCCATTATATCTTTTTTATCACTTTTTTCTCAAGTTGACACTTCCCCTTACTGTCAAGTTATGAAAATGAAGTTGTCAGTTCAGAATTGAAATAAATTGATCCTCTACAACTATTACCTTTATTCACGTTTGAAATGTTTCTCCATTTAATACCTTTTGTTTCAGGTGGAGGAAAATGTGTTATCAGAGTTCATCAATATGTTCTTGGAGTGTCATCAATATTTGGTGCGTGGGCGTACATTCGAGCCGTCATCTGTTGGCCGCAATCTGGACGATAGACAGCGAGTGACGTATTGGGCATCATTAGACTCGGTTTACAAGGTATGATGTCGTAACAACCCTGGTTGTTACATGGTTACTTTCAATTACTACAAATATTTTGTATGGGCCATTGATTGCATTTTGGTTTATTTTGTAAGATTTACAAAGTTCACTTAAACTTTTCTAACTTTTGAATTTTGTGGCAAAAACTCCTTGAATAATAGTTTGAAGACCCTGTAGCTTCCAGAGTTCAAAGGTCAAAGCCCAAGCAGCAAGAGAGGCTATTGAATACAAGATGGAGTTAGATTGAAATTATATGTGCAGATAAATTATCTGAAATGGTGGACTAAAAGTCCAGTTAGGATAGCTATTAGGATATATTTTGACATTAAAGTGTGAGGAATGTGATAACTTGATAAGATCATTTGGATGTTTAGGATATTTTCTTCAGTTTCAACAGCTTAAAGTTTTTCTAGCTTGATAGATTTTCACAAAAGTGGGCCTTTTTGGTCTTTACTGGGCCTTTTAAGGCTTTATTTATGTGTATATGAGATTAAAGATATTTGTTTTGAAATATATTTAGTTAATCAATTATTACTCGCGTTAATGTTGCTGGATTGGGCTTTCTCTGGCATAGGCTGTGGTCATTAATGGATTAATAACGACCATCTTGCGTCAATGGTTTTTAGGGCTTTCACTTCAAACAATCTCGTTATGCCAAATTATGTCTATGCTGAGGGTTTTGTTACAGGTTGCAAGATTGCTGTTACAACTAAACTACCGTACGACTGAACTGCAAAATGTCATTACAAGATACCAAAACTATGGTCCTACTAGTGCGTCAAACGCCCTCATTGGTAACAGGGGATTTTATGCATCGGATATGATGGTCCACCATAGGCAAGGCTACATGGCGACCGTGCGTATGTTTTCCAGCCGTACCGTCCGACCTGAAACCTGGTACAGCAGCAGAAGAAACAATAATCCCAATGGGTGAGAACCGAGTTTTTATTTTCTGTTTTTCTCTAGTTGTACAAACAAGTCAGTTGTACATGCAGTTCAGAGCGCTGAAAAATACAAGATTTTTCAAAAATACGAATAAGGTGATGGCGTTGTAATGCACGTTTATTTCCCACTCATTATTTCGTCTTGAAGGCACCAACAAAAGTGGTGACATATTGTTATAGATTTTGTGGACGGTTTTCGGCGTCTGTAACATGTGGTAGGTGGTGATCTAGTAGCCTCAGATAAAAGGGATGACATTTGACATTCCAGGTATTATACAGGTGACGGATTTGTGACATTTCTACAGGATGACCATGAGTTCGGATCCAGATTCAACGAGGTTTTCCAGTATTATGATTGGGAAAAGATTCCAGGTACTGACGATATCATACTATTACAAATGAATAATTATAGGTGTATCGACGTTCATGACCTAATAGTTTTATTGAATTGTGAATTGTCTCATTTTGCCCATTCTGTAAATAATGCTTTCATAAATTTTGTAGGCACGACATGTGAATACAGTGGACAGGTTCCCCGAGAAGGCATGGAGAGAAATGTTGGAAATCCATATGGGTTTCCCCATCATATAAGCAATGCTGATTTCGTTGGCAGTGCCTCCGATGGAATGTACGGTGCTGCTGCAATGATCTACGATCGTCCTACAGTCAATATAACAATGAAGAAGTCTTGGTTTTTCTTTGATGATGAAGTCGTCTGCTTGGGTAGTGATATAGTGCGGCGTGAAACTAATGGGGCGACTGAACTCCCGATTATCACTACGCTGAATCAAGTAGTCCAAGATGGTGATATTGCATATAGTAATTCAGAAACATGGCAATATGTAGGCTCAGACACAACAACAAATGTCCCTAATGCTAAATGGGTTCACCACAACAACGCAGGATTTGTTTTTCCAAATGGAGCAGATGCAAACGTCGATTCCCATGTTAAAACGGCAAGTGGCAAAACTTTGGAAGTCGCTACCATGTGGATGGAACATGGTGTAGAACCGTATGCGTATATCATGTACCCAGGTGTAACCATAGCCCAAACTGAGGATCGCCACGCTAATCCACCAGTGGAGATCTTGCAACAGGACTCAAATGCCCACATCGTGTACCAGTCGACACTTGATATACTCTCGATGGTTGTGTTCACCGGTCCATTTTCCTTTGTTTACCCAAATACAGATTTGTCATTTTCTTTCACTGTTGATCAGCCTTGTATTTTAATGATTCAGTACTTGGAGTCAACTGACAGTCTTTCAATAACCGTGTCGTTCCCCACACACACAACGGCAACAGTCGCGATAACACTTGGTTTGTATGTGACGGGAGCTGACTCAACTTACAGTTCCAGTGAGCAGCAATCCGAAATTCTGTTTTATTTCTCAGATGATCTTATGGTTGCTGGAAAAAGTCAAACCAAGAATTTCAACATTGAGCCTACACCAACAACCACAACAGCTGCTCCTACAACCACAACAGCTGCTCCTACAACCACAACAGCTGCTCCTACAACAACAGCTGCTCCTACAACCACAACAGCTGCTCCTACAACCACAACAGCTGCTCCTACAACCACAACAGCTGCTCCTACAACCACCACAACTGGGCCTGCAATCACAACAACTGGGCCTGCAATCACAACAACTGAATCCAATTCCGTCTAATTCATAAGAATTAATATTAGATCTTCTATTGTTTTACGAACGAATTTTGGCCAATATGTTTCTTCTGACTATATTCAAATATCTTCAACTCAAATCATTTTTGATTTTTGATCTCCATTTTTTATGCCAATTTTCGACAAATGAATACTTTTGAATTGACCAAACCCCATGACATTCAATTTTGTTTCAATATGCTATATACAGGGTGGGCCAATAACGTTCACATTTGTTAATTTTATAACTTTTTAATAAGAAATGCATTTGAAAAATATTTTCACTTGATATGTAGCATTCAATTGTACAACTTTTTCCAAAAATTATCGAAAATGTCCTTAGCAGTATACATTGATAAGATAAGCTAATAGACACTTGAGGTGTAGATGTAAATTCGCAGTGACAGGTAATATTTGATGTTACATTTTGACAGTGATTCAAACTGATTTTTTCTTCAAATATTGGAACCATATAGATACCTTGAATAGTCTACCAGAGAGACACATTACATGTGGTTATTTATATCCTGTTAAAATGTTTGAAGACCAATAAAGAAAGAAAGAAAAAGAGGTTCAACATCAGAAAAAACGGAACTGGTCGATCCAAAGTCAAATGTTCAATTTGTGATTTCGATCTCTTATTTATCTAAAGGACATAACTAAAATCACTGTGAAATATTAACTTCAAATACTGTAGTATTCTGTCACTAAAAATTTGCATTCACAATTATTAACTTCAAATACATAGTATTCTGTCACCGGAAATTTGCATTCACATTCATTCATGTATTAACTTCAAATACTGTAATATTCTGTCACCGCAAATTTAGATTCACATTCATTTATGTATTAACTCAACAAAGTATAGCGATGATCAAACGTATGGAAAGCAAACATATGCGTAGTTAAAGGCTGAGAGGAAAATACTATCAAAGAACTTCATTTTCACAGTTTTAATGAAAAGACGGCTTATTATTATTTGTCGGTGTCGAGAGGATCGTAATGCTGCCTCAACTGCCTTATGCCTGGTTATATGTATGTAATTTTGGAAACAGTTCGATGTATGTATGCTACATTTTGAGCGAAATATCTCTGAAATTCATGGCTTATTAAAAATGTATATAGCAAAATAAGAATATGAACGTTTTTTGACACACTCTGTACTTGAATAAACGACTGAACTTGTGCACTAGTGCGCATATACTCAAATGTGTTCCTATCGGTAATGTTTTCTGTTTTTCTCCCCTGACCAGTCTTTTTCAAACGGTTGGCTTGGTGAGCTGTATAATCCACATCATAATTCTATTGTGGTAAAGCTTGAAGACTGATACAGAATACATTTGTTTTAGGATAACGAGATTGGTATGTGATTTTGACGGACAGATTTTAGGAAACGACCCATGCTATGTAAACGGATGTGATTCAAGTGTTAGGTTTCTATTTGAAACCGTTTTTAATCTTAATTGTATATTTTGTGTTGAGTGTTTCTTCATAATTTTTGGCTTCCTCTTTTGAAAGATATGTATAATGATGGGCTTTCATATTTTCACTTTTGTGATGTTCTCATGATTTCGTTGGAAATAATGCTCATATTTAGAATCTCATTTTGTTATTTTGTGGATTTGTAGGATAGCTTTGTATGTTGCAATTTGCAATGTTCAGTTGTTCAGTTACTAATTGCCGCATTTTCATCTCCAACTCACGGCACAAGATGTTCACTACACGTCTCAGAAATGACACTAGGGTCGATATTTCTCAAAACAGCCATGTACGCTAGCTTAAACTGTGCATAGTTTGAAGAACGGTGATAGATCGCTGGTGATTGAACCAATTTTGATTGCTGCGGGCAATAAGAACATAAGCACAAATGCCAAAAAAGCAACAGAAACTCCAGTTGGGGGTTCTCGGACGAGGACCCGTAAGCCTTCAATCAGTACTGAAAGGATAGATATGGATGGGACGGCGAGAGCACACTGTTGGGTAGTGAATACCATAAGGAATGAAATCCATCATTGCTTGTATAAAATAAGGGCTCTGTCAAGGTTCAATAAATAGATGATATTAACAAATCGAATCATTTTGTTTATTATCTTTTGCATTTGATAATTATTTGGAATGTTTGGATTTGTTTAAATGCTCGTCTTTTCTCAATGATAATTGCATTTAGTATATATTTCTAATGAAGAAATTACAAGTAAAGGAATTAGAAGGTATGTAAAATATAGAAATTAATTTTCCACGTGCCATTCGAATGTATTTCTTACAATACTGGTTTTAATTTCTGAAAAGGAAAATTAGGATATCCGATCAAAAATGGAAAAATTCATTCAAAGTTTATCAGGCAGTCAAATGTTCGTCCAATTGAAGGAGCGGTCATGGCCTTATAAAAATAGAATGATTATTCTGAAATAAAATCAAAACAGAAATGGGCCGTTGAGAGCAAAATACTGTTACATAAAATTTTTAATGCAATTCAATGAAGAAAACTGTCCAATATTTTGGCAGGATGGATCAGCTCGGCGCATTGATTTCAAATTGACAGACAGATTGTTCAAAACTCACCCTCACCTCATCTCTACCCCTTTTAATCCCTCAAACTAGTCGATGATATCGAATTTTAGGGGCGCTTACCAAGAACCAATGGTCAGATTAACCTTAATTAATTAATTAATTAATTGTTGTATCTAGTGGCATTTTATTATACTGTTAATTATGACAAGTTAATGCGTCTTGATTGTTATTTCCTTTGAAATGATAAATGCTCAAATATCACATGGACAGATGAAAACTCACATTTTAAAATCGAGAGCGGAAAGTGTAAATAACTAATTAAGATAGAGTACTACACAGATTTTTGTGACAGTACATTAATAGATGACATTTGCGACCTACGAATACGTTGAATACGTTGGCAATAACTTTATTTCCTCATCGGTTTTGATATTCAACAAACAAATAATGATATAATTGGTATACACTATCTAATAAAGTAAAATCCTTAAAGGTTAAAGGCGCACTATACTTAATTTAGAAGAAAAAAATCATTGAAAAATGTTACTCACACACTTGCTCAAATATGACACAAAGTTTGATTTGCTTTAATATTGAACCAAGAAAAAAACTCACATAGAAAAAAGCATTTGAAGTTCAGAGATCATTAGACATGCATGCACATGTTAAACAAAGTGCATGTTTTAAATTACTATTGATTTAAAAGATGGCGACAGTTCTATAAAAATGAATGTATCATGCAATACAAACAACTTTGCCATCTTTCAATGACATTGATAAAAACTTGATATATAAAGCTTGACAGATCGAAAATATTTTTTGATAATTTATTGGAAGCGTTGATGTGGTCCATTTGAGCTGTTGTTGGTGTCAAATGAAAGATAAGGTTCTTATCAATACATTGGGCATACTATGAAATTTAAATGTAAGTCTTTATTTTGTCCAAAAATGTTGAAAAATCCCAAAGTGGGCCTTTAAGTCATTATAGCTTTAATGACACCATAAAAATCAAGAAAATCGAAACACGTGGTTTCTCATCGCAGGATCTGATGAAATAATATGATTTTAATTGCAGGATTCCAATACCTATATTCAGTATATTCTAGTATTTTAGAATATCTTCCAGGCTATATTCCATACTCGTGGTTCAAAATGCAATTGAATATAATGAATAGAACTGGGCCCAATATTGTGATCCGGGGTACTCCTCGTGTAAGGTTCGAGATTTTATTTCAACAAAAATGACATTACCTAGCAAGAATAGTTAGTCCTATAGCACTCGTAACCCCAATCTAAGTTTCACAAAGAAGGTGAAGTAGATCGTGGGTTTAGATACTTTATCTAGACTATAGAATCTTTCAATAGTCTCAAATGCCTTTGAAAGGTCACGTATCTTTTCTAATGTACTTCATATGTCAATTTTTGAACCGCAGTGAAGTTACATCGGATACCCTTCCAATTGTCTTTCCACTTGTTTGATCAATCCGGCCGCTTCTTAAAAGGATCGGGAAGTTTTGTTTTTGCGAGACGTTGGGCTTTATGGTGTGCCACCGAGGTAAACCCCACACTCGAAATTCAACAAATTCCTGATTTTCTATTCGTAATTAAATATTAGCGAACAACTCAACAGCTGTCTCAAAGGTGCAACTAAATAATTAAGAAAATGTCACAGTATTCTGGCAGAATTGATTAGCTTGGCGCATTGATTTCAAAAATGATTTCTGGCTACAGTCCGAGCTCAGTTTTACATCGAGACTACTATGTTGAAGATCGTGGAAAGGTTGAACATTGAGATGATTAGACTAAATACGATTTTTTTCTGGTTGGTGATAATGATGAAATATTGTTTAGGGGATAGGTTTACTACAGAACTTGACAACAACTTCAAAATGCTTGCTATGCCAGCGGATGCAGCAGGGGAGCGGTATTCAATTAGATTGTCGTACAAATATGTTCAGCTGAGCAAGATGAACGTCGAAGGAAGTTTCAACGATATTATTTATAAAGACAATACCGACAAATCGTCAAAACCGTTTATGACCCATGGCGATAGACTGACTAAATTAATTCAATCATATTTCTTACCACATACGGGAAACTATTTCTATCAGAACAACAAGACTTGGGAATGGGTAGTGAAATCGTGGAAATACCTTGCGTATAGTGCACCTGACAACACAGATTGGAATTGGTGGGGCAATCTAATTGGTGTCCCACGATCCCTCTGGCCTGGTCTCTTTCTTTCGAGGGGCAAAATCGACGATAGCCTGTATGATGATTTGATTCAGAGATACTGGACGGTCCACAATGTGTGGGACTACGAAAGAAAGAAAGATGGGTTCATGTCGTCATCAAATCTTGCAAACAGGGGGTTCCTGGGGTTGTTCGAGACATATTTCCAAAGTCAGGATAAATTTGAAACCAGACGAAGTCAGGTCCTTGAGTATTTAACTCAAGAAATTGTAAATAAAACTATATATCAAGGTAATCTTCTCA